TTGCTGAGTATGCTCATGATCATCTATCTTGATCATATAACAGCATTTATCATGAAAACTCATCCGTTAGAGTCAGTTTGGAAAAAATACTACTGATTATTTAGTAACAGATACTGCTAAATGCATCTTTGTAACCTTTGATATCAATTAGTACTAATTGCAATAGATCAAGAATTAAATAATTTGTAGTAGAACACGGCAATAGCCTATCTGTAGAAAGGCGATCCCATGAATATTTTTTATTTATTAAAATTATCTAAGGTGTTTTTTTGTCTTTACGCACATATTTATGATCTAGTATCGTCTTTCGAAAAATATACATAATCGATATGGCTAGGACTTCATAGGTTTTTTCAAAGCTTGCATCAAGTATCACACTTTTTATTAGTTGAGGGACTTAACAAATGATCCTTAAGAATAATTTTGCCTATCGTGATACGTTTGTTACCAATTAAGCCTAATAAGATCTCTTGCAAGAAAATGAGTAGAAAAAAAAGCAGGGATTGTTGCATATTCGCTAAAAACATGCTATGTAATAAACATCGGTTTTAGCCTATCTCTATAAGCGTGTTAAGTATCTCATTGTCAAATGTATCGATATCAATTCCGTCTTAAAAAGTATTAAATTTGGATGTTATGTGACGCCTATATGAATTATTAGATTTTAACAAGTGATGAATTAAATATTTTCTGGCAATACTGACACTAAGAATCAATAATGCACATGGCCTAGGGCAAGCAACACTAATTATACAAAACGCAACGCTACTGGTACCATACCTTGACAACAGTATTAAACTCTTATTCAAATTATTTTTATTGTGTACTGTGTTACTAAATTAGTAATAGGGTGGAGTAACGTAGTATTCCATTTAATTAAGTTTTATTCCAGCTCAGTTCAATCATCCTCTTATTTCGATATTGTTTACTATTTCTATTAAATTCGCCGATTGAGCCTCCATAAAAGCACTCGTCATGATATAAAGGCTATATTGTTGCATTATTTCGATCTAAATTGCAGTAATCTCTCAGATCTATCATAGTGGTAATAATAATTAGTCATCATTATTGAATGTGAATATTTAATGAGCTCAAATTTCGTTATTCGCTTCATCGTGTTCTTAAAGAACCATAACTAGATATTAAAAATAACATTCTGCCTTTCTTCTGCTGTAATTTACGAAAATGAGGTAGGCAAGTTTAATCTCTCCCTCTCTTACTTTCTCAGTCATCTATAAAACTACTGATCAACATTGAAAAATATACACTTAGTTTACCTTAACAGCGTACGACTTTTACGAACTTAGAAGTACTCATATGATTTAAACATAGCACAGTGGATAGTATCAGTACGATTGTTTGTTTGTGCTATTTTTATCACCGATCGTTTTAATAACTTTTCTCTAAATGGTGACTGTTGGTAGCTTGTATTAAATTACAATAAACAACTCGTTACTTTGTATCTGAATTATTCAGCACAGTAGGAAGAATTTAGTTTAACGACGTAGCTAGGTGATCTTTGTATAGTAAAACTATTATTTTTGATCTATTGACAATAGTCGGACGGTCACTATTTTACTTGCAAAGTAATCAAAAATAAATTTGATTAACAATGCAATGTTTACATATTTTCTGTCCTTTATATTTTTATGACAAATGAGCGATTGTCATGTTTAAGTTACGCTAATACATTGCACGATGTATACTCGTACAATAATCATCAAACGGCTTACACTAATTTACTTACAAATTAATTTTTAACATCAATTTCTTTCTTATAAAGCAAGTAACCATCAATTTGCGTTCAGTTACAAACCTTGACTTTAACTTTTACTGACACTGAAAAATTGGATCAATTTAATATCTATCGTATTAAGCTGCTGAAGTCACCGATTCATTCGTAAGTGAAATTTTTTCGGTTGCCAACTCGATTCCTTTACTACAAGGGCATTAAAATTGTACACGAGCAGCCATTCTTTTCGCTATCTAAATTGATGATGAACTGATTCATTGACTTATGTAGCTACCTCAGCGTGCATCTACTTCTATTTTCTGAAAGACGTTGAAATTTTTACAAAGATGATCGAATTTTATTTTTCTCACGCAATCGGATTACATAGTCAGTTTTATTGGATAGACTCATTTAGATGACATACAACCATTTCGATGATCATATACTTGAAATGGGGTCATGTTTTTTACTTTTGACTCTATTACAATATAATCAATTTTTTCGACTTTCTTGTGATTAATTCAATACATCACTTAGTAAGCGGTCTGACATGCATGCTTGACACCTATCCCTATTACTGCAGTACTTTAGTGACATTCAATACAACTTTAGAAAATTAATTATAGGGAAATATTCCTTTTACGTCATTAACTGGCACCACCTAAATTGTAATAACTTTTTTAGGTAACCGTCTGTATTATAATTATTCTCAAGCTTTCATGAATGTTCCGTTTTTGTAAAAAATTTCTCTGAAATACTAATTATTAATTAGCTAACAGATCAAGAAATTACAAAATTTTATCCATAATAAGATAACTCATAAATATATAATGAAATAAAATAACAAAACCCCACGAACTTCTCTAATAATGCAGTTTAACTTTGTGAAAGACTCACTTTTAATTTAGTTCTGTACCTTATCGTGCGTCAGTAGTACAGTAGACGGTAAATAAATAATGCAGCTTGTCTATCTTATTTACGCACAGGTATTTTTAAATCTTATTCACTTTATTATATTCTGTTTGATCGATCTTTACATGTACAAGTATAGCTAAATGAGTACAAATAAATATTGAATTCCTTCCGAACAAAAGTGCCAGCTAGACTTTAGCAAATCTATCACTACCGTATTCACAGTTAAAAGTTAGTTACCCTCCGATAGCTGATAATCATTCTCGGCACATATTATCAAATAGAGCAGGGTTATTATTTGTTATTCGACGAATATGTTGACCAGAACAATTATGACTTCATGTATTTTATTATTTCAAACTTTCCAGCCTTAACTTAACGGCTTTTCTGTTCCAAATTTCCATGTATTTTCTATTGAGATATTTCGTAAAAGGATGTATCGCAACAGTCTCTCATTTCAATTTCTCAGGTGATCATATTAGTAATCTTCAGCCAAAACATATTACTACATAAAGTAGTTAAGTTACTTTAAAGTTTCAGTAAATTCTGATGGCCGCCAGGTAACAGAAATAAGTTTAATCTCATCATATTGAATACACTCATCAATTTAATCATCGCTTTCTACTGATTAAATACATGTAAAAGAAACAATAATAGGTAGATTTTTTTATTGTACTCATGGATATTTTCTTCATTTACTTCCATCCTACAATTTTATTTATTTGTCTTTCCTTCATTTCTGATTTATTAATTCCCTATACATTGTCTAATTTAGACAGTCCTAATCTTGCTTGATCTATTTTATCTATTAATCTATCAGATCTACTTTGCATTGAAGTGAATTGGTTAATATGCTTTGATTTATACTTAAAATAGACTTGATCGTCTGTAAAATATGATACTGTGCTTTCCAGTAATACATGGACTAATTTAAATTCAATTATCGTCTTGCCAATAGAGAATATGCTACACTAACTATCGTTGATTAAGCATTATTTAATTAGTCGTGTGCAGTTTAAGAGGTCTGCATAGTTGTGAACTTTTTGTTTTCTAAATATTCATTGGCAGATTTCTAATTAAATCATACTGCGTTGTAATTCCTTATTAATTATTTCTTACTTGGCTAAGCTTACCAAATCAGCCATCTTTAATGTATACTGTAAATTATTCTAGTTTATAATTATTTTATTACCAGGTTATTAAAATGTACGCGTCAGTAATGTAGTATTCTCGTGTAAGGTTTCTATAAAGTAGTAACATGCAACAGCAATTTAATCTAGAAAGTGATACTTCAACATCGAAAACTCGCTTGGTACTTAATTTTAAAATCAGTAACGAATGATTTTGCTATAATGTTTCGAGTAAGTAGTGGCTGATGTTTGTTATTCGTTCATTTTATATTGTTTATTTAGGTGAATCATAAACGAAATCAATCAAGAAATTCTACAATCGATATGGTCAGTACCCAGCAAATAGCTGATTCTCTTGGCTAGTAAGAGATCCTCTTCTACAATATACTGACTGCTGTATTTGCGCAAAGAGCTCTGTTAATTCATATTTTACAACGTCTGATATACTCTTTGGTTACATTTAATTCACATTATTAGACTGTTCCATCCCAATAATACGCGTACAATCTCTGAAGACCAGAAATTAAAGATCTCCTTATTAATATCATTTATCACTGTATCGTAAATTAAAAAAGAAACATTTTAATTCTATTGATCGTTACTGACACCTGAAGACCAAGTTTAAGGATTATATTAACCATCGAAAAAAGGTGTTGATAGTCTATTTTAAGCAGTAGATGTATTAATAATCAAGGTAATACTCTTTTGTCTACAAGAAACAGTTTACTCCTTGGCAGATTTTAAACTTTATTTCTAGAAATCAACAAGATATTACAGTCAATCATTCTAAATAGCTTCTTCCCGATTGAATTATCATGTCCAACTCTTCAGCGCCCATAGTGTTACCATCCATTCCGGTACCTGTATCACAAGCAATTTGGTTTATTATCGGCATTTTAACCATCGCAACTAATGCCGCAATTTTAGCATTGATAATCGCTTCACGTCATCGATTAAAAGGGCAAACCTACACAATTTTTTGCAGCTCTTTCGTAATCTGTATCTTATTTGCTATATGGAACAGTATATTAGTTGAATTTATTAATTATTTTCCCAATATACCTCGATCAGTCTATGCAATAATCTGTACTTTTTCTCCCTCCGGTAATATATTCTTTATGGCTAATTTTAACCTCCATCTATGCTTGATAAGTGCTGATCGCTACATTTTTGTAATGTATCCGTACAATTACAAACGGCTGGTTACCAGAAAAACAACTGGCATCATGTTAACGTTAATTTGGATATTGCCGGTTGTATCGATCTTGACATTAGTTACTTATCGAAAAATTAATCTTGAAAATTGCACGTACGATTACGAATTCGGTCAAAGTCTTGCTTTAGCCGACGCTATTTCTGCAACTGCCACCTCGGCTGTCCTATTTTTCATACCTTTAAGTGTTGTTATCATCGTCTATACCAGAATTTTTTTTGTAATTAAATCACACACTAAAGAGCTGTATGCTGGTAAAGACAGTAAAACTATAAAGAAGAAGGTCAACAGAAACTATAAAGCCATCATCCAAATGGTCGTATTGATTGGTGTATTCGTTATCATGTGGTTGCCATTTGCTGTATTATCAATTGTTGCTTCCTTAGTTATTGCATTAGTACCTTCATCCGACATAAGTTTTGTTCCTTTGGTTACGTATGCATTAATATTTCGTTTCTTAGCGTATTCATATCCCTTAATACATCCTGTCATGTATAGCTATTTTAACGTACCAATGAAAATGGAGTTGCTACGTTACTTTTATCAATGCATTGGTAGGGAAGAAGTCTTTAGACATCGTTTGCAAACTGGACAGGGAACAGTCTTTTCTGTTCATGAAGGAAAATCGGCACATACCAGAGAAATAAATGTATCATCTATCGGTAATTTCGAAAATAGCGGAAATCAAGAAAATTATCAAAATCATAGACGTCTAGATAGTCGGGGTAATAATGAACAAAAAGACGGTCAACTCGATAAACTACCTCGACAAAAGGTAGTAAGGATTCAAGAATCTCTCGAGTATCTCTCAGCGGTAAGAAACTAACTTTAGTACTAGTTAAAAATTGCGTAGATTTATTTTAGCCTAGTTTTATACAAGATTTCTAAGTACTGCTGTACATTACGACATCAATTAAACAACTCTGTCTTACATTATTCTATTATCATGTCATTTTAGGTATAAAAAATCTAACATAAGTAATTCAATGACGTTGACTTTTAAATGACGATCATTTTAGCTCTAAGCTAAGCTATCCAGCCAGTCAATCCACAAAAGGTACTTAAACATTGCATTATTGTTGACATCAAACGGCATGACTACATGATTACGAGCGTGTAAAACACTGAATTTTAAGAGGAAGAACTATCGATATCAATAAGTTCATCGCTTGCATCGCATTTGACTCTTTTAATTCCTGCGCAATCGTCGACGTCATCAATTCGATCTGTTGCACAGTTGTGATATCTACCAATTTCTGTAATATCTTGGCTGAATGTTATAAAGTATTAGCTTCTAAGTATCTTAAGGTGTTACAAAATAAGATCAATACAGTACAAATTATAATCCTTAGCTTGTTAATCATGATAAGCGTATGAAAGATTTAACTTTTTTATAAAGTAATTACTATGCAAGTGAGAGTACACCATTTACAATATTTGTATTTTGATTTTGTCATAGTAATGAAAGATGAGTTACCTATAATTATACGTATATATATATATTACGCAATCGTACAGTACTTTGTTCATATCATTCATACTTCCCGCTGATCTCAAGCGAAATAGTTTAACTCGATATCTCCCACAAGCCGTAAAATTTCTAAATCTAAATCTATTTACTTTTACTCTCAGTTACGCCAGGATGGACTTAGCTACAATAAGTAAAAAGAAAATACAGCACCAAAAAGTAAATTTGCCCGTATTCTTTATCAATTGACCGAATAGTCTAGTATTTTTTTCTTCAATTCTAATGAGTTATACTTTAAGTAAATTTAATAGAAAGTATACTAACAGTAATAGCGATTTATACAACCCTTAGTACCCTATAAATACATCATCTGGTATTATAGTTCTTTTCACTATTTTATTAGACAATAAAATAATTTTATTTTAGATGTTAATCGTTAATGGCCTGTTAGGCACAAATATTTTCAATCTTCTATAAGCTGTACTGTTTAATTTCTTTAGCTTTTTGATACACTACTGATAGGCTATATGTCTTGTAAAATCGATCTTAGTTCATCATCATATCCAAAATTCATTTGATTTATCTGCTGCCAGCTTTAATTTCGTTACAGAAAAGAATTTTAGTAGCTTTATAGTAACTTAAACATTTTCGCTAGTCATGTTTTATTCTGAGTACCTCCTTCAAAATTTACGATCATTTTATAGTATCAGTCCTATAACTTTACGGTCTTCGTTCACTTTTTAGAAATGATGCTTGTCTTGTAAAGGTGTTAAGTACTATAAAGCTTTAAATACAGCGTCACCACTTAATTCCTCTGTAGGATAACATGTAATTTCCTACCACATCATATGATAACATTAAGAATTATATTATCAAATGCGAACGTTGGCTGTCATTAATATTACTTATAGTTTTATTACATATACAGTAGCTTAGCACAATAAACTATGAATATGCTTTAGCAAAGTCAACGCATCGTTACAATCATTGAAGACTCCAACATTGTATAGCTTATTTCGTATTATTACTTTATGGATAATTGATGCTAAGAATTTTGTATTGTAAGGTGATAGTATGCATGATAAAATAAATGATAATTTGCGATATTTTGCAAGATAGCCTTGCATTCTATTTAGCTATACGTGACCATTACATATCAAAGTGCCTTAGAGGTGAAGACGACGTTTGCACTATATATATATATGAGTAATGTATGCAGATTATTAACTCACTGAGATATTTAATAGTTGGTAGAATATAAAACCTTAGATACAATCTATCAAAATGCCTAGTGGTAGAGTAAAAATGTAATCTTGTATTAATTCCTTCCAAATTGAATCGTAAATACCATATTCTAAACAGACCACGATATAGTGCAGTACGATAAAATTAAAATATGAAATATTTAAATTAATAAGACAAGATAAATATAGAAGGCACACTTGTATATATATATTGTTAGTGCTGATTAAGCAAGGATGCAGAACTTACAACCTTACAATTTTAAGACTGGTAACACCAAATAAAATGATCTGTAGTAGTCACTTTGTTTGCTAAAACGTTTGCATACTTCGCTTCTGCAGAAGTGATCCGTTACCGTGAGAAAATAGCTATAAATGGTCCTTTTTCTGGGTTATATTAGCAGACTTTTGTCAAAACCTGGTAGCCTTCTACAAGGGTACCGTTAGTCATTCTATAAAACTAGTTATGAATTATCTAGCAATTGAAATATTTATTGAGCTTACACACGTACAGTATCATATAAAAATAGTAGTAGTAATTTATATGGCTGTAATTATATCATCTATTAAATCTGATATCAAACTAATATCTAAGAGTGACTTAGTCAAAACGGTAGTCATAACTATCCACAAAAATTTTCCTTCAAAATAATACTTAATATTATCTAGTATCTCTTTATATGTTCAAAAGAGAATTGATACAGAATACCAGCACTAACAGTTTGTCCGTCAAACCGAAAGTAGTCGATTTAACATACTTCAAACAACATAATCACCAGTATTGTACAGACTTGTATTACTACGTGATTAATCTCATATGCAATAACCGAAAAGATCAGATAATCGAAACTTTAGAATTCATCTATTAGAGCTGTATTTTGTTGGAGACTTTTAAAATTCAATTAATGCTAGTCCATGTATAATCTCAACTGACCACTTAGCTATTAATTGTAGATCTGTTAATAAAAATTACTATCTAGCGGTGAAATAAAATCACCAAATTTCTATCTATCGTCCAACGGAAGAGTCAGTAAACCCAAATGACGTAAAATACTCAGACCATCCAAGTTAAGAACAGAAACATGGAGAATTTTAAGCTTAACCAGTTGTCTCGCGAACTGCAATAGAATTGTTGCAATTTATCGTTTTTGTAAATGTATTAAAATTATTAGAGGCCATTGTATCGGTACTAAAAATACCAAGAACTATATAATTATCATTACTTTCGCTACTCTAAATCTTTATAAATATCGCTAAATAAATTAATGTAATATAATTTATACTACAGTAATTAGAGTAAGTATAATAGCTATTCTAAAGTGCTCTATGACTTATTAACCAAAATCATTATATCTATTATCTATTGATAAAATCCGAATTATCGTAATTAATCTAACTACAAAAATAGCTAAGCTTATTAAAGAAAGGTAATTTAGTATATTACTAGACTATATGCACTGCGGTATCTCTCTTTACTAGATCTACAGTTGATACTACATTTTTTAATAATTTGTTATATTTCACTACTACCGTGTACTTATATTAATGTACAGCTGCGATAAAAATTAATTTACATTCGTTAAACTGTACTACCAAATTGCTAGAGTAGCAGATTATGGATCCCTTTAGAGTAAAGAGAAATAATAGCAATAATTTACATCGTAGAAATAATACTCACCGTATGAGCTGCAGATGAAGCGTTACCGACAACAACAACCATTTTTCCTTTCATCTGCAACAATTGGGTTATTAAGGGTGAAGTAGTGTTTAAGGCATTTTCGATTAAAACACGAGAAGATGGAATATTTATACTACGCGGAATATGGCCCTGATTATATCTAGTGTAGTAAATACTTGGTTAAGGAATGAAAATGTAATTACAATTACGTAAGATTGGCTATCATATCGACCCTTTAGTAATTTATTATAATTTCAATTAAAATTAGCATTAGATATAGGATACTCGTCCGTATCACGCGTATCAATAACCAAAACTCTGTGATAGGCAGGCTCTGTAAATGCTGAAGCTTTACCGGTTGGATCTAATTGGTAAATTCGTACAAAATCTCTGGTATTAATTCGAGGACACATTTCTTCCTGTCGTTGTGAAGTAGTAGGCAAGTCTTCTTCTGGCTAAAGAGTACGAACGAAATAATCACACTTAAGGAGCTCATTCTTACGTAACTTGATATTAAAATTCTTAAACATGAAGTTGACATCTGCATACTATAACTTTTAGAGCATCACTATCCCCTGTGTCATCAAATAATACATCAAAAGGATTGATGGAATGCAAATCTCTCTCTATTTTCCGACGTTCATGTACACGCCTATAAATACTTGGCGGAGTCAAACTACTCATTCTTTTTGCTTCCTTAACACATATTTCGATGTCCAATTCTTTAATATCGAAAGATATTGCAAATTAATAAACCTTAAATTATAGCATCTGCATTTTAAAAAAATTTTAGTATAAATTTACAATCAATATCATTTTACCTGGTAAATCAGAAAATAAAAGAATACATTCGTTGAATCCGGAACTCAGTAATTCAGATCGTAATTGAAACAGCAATCCTAATCCTATAAATAGCGGAAATGAACTATTTCCGAGAAGGAGCGCATCCCACAAATGAAAAATTTTGAGCAACGGAAAGACATCTATAGTTTTGATGTAATGAATTTCCGACGGTCAAACTTTATGTAAGCAATTCTAGTCGTCATAGAATCACATTAATACCGATAAACTAGTAACTTGGATAATCAAAGTACTTACGCGTATATACCGTCAAAAACCATGGAATTGCAAATAGCTAAGTACGCAGAATAAACAAAGATATAATGTCATCTCAAGATTATGATTTGTTCTTAATTAACTGAAATATATCGCTCGATCTTTTGATTTCCTAAAAAAGTTTGCTATACTTACATCAGGAATAAAACTGATGTTATCTAGATGATCCATCAATTCTGGGTCATGATATGCAATCATTTGAGAAAACACAGCCAAATATTCTTAAATTGTAAAATAATTCAAGATTGTTGCATTAAGTAATTGTAAATCAGATCAGCTATAACAGAAGACTTTCTCTTTTCGAAATCGTTTCTACAGTCACCTTTAATAACGTGAGAGTTATCTTTCAAGAAAAAATTATGCAAGTATTTAGAAATAAAAGCGCACAGGCTTGCAAAGGCCAAGGCTATAGTAAATAAAAAAAGTTATTAATTTTGATGAAATTATAAGCTAAAAATAATTAAGATGTAATAAATTACCCTCATTATTAAAGTGTAAGTGTAAGAAAGGAGCACACAATGAATCAAGACCTGAAAAAAATAGGCTCAAGTATCATTAACAATTGAATAGATTAAATAGTCAAGGAACTATGATAGATTCGACCATACCTTGCCAGTACACCAAGTCAGTATGTGACACAACCCATGCTTTTAAAATACGTTTAAACTTTATATGGCCAGTAGGAGATGAAAGCAATCCATCATACTGGTGACATCTAGGAATATCAACTTCGATCTAAATATGGACACAATATTACTGTTATAGGCAACTTTCTTATCTCCTGTTCGCACTAAACCATAGTATGATAACGTCTTTATGCCAATTATACCTGGCGGTCAGTAGAATTTGGCGTCTCTTTATCAATCAGATCGTAAATTTCTTGTACGTTACCCTAAAAAATTGTTTGCAATATTTTTTTAAACTTAATCTAAAATAATTCATCGAATTAGCTGAGGAGAATTAATCAGTCGAAATTTTATGATCATTAATTTCTAATATCAGACTGCCTTATATGCACTCATTGCTCTGCTAACCCGGATCCCCAGAAGAGCTGACCATACTTTTCCCCTTAAAAGGGGAGGAATATCAGTAGCAGCTTCCGAAAAGAGGGTTTTCAACGTATGGGGATATCCCTTGGTTTCGATACGAAAACAGTAGTTATTGTAACAATTTATAAGATTTTATTCCATTCACGTTTCAGTATGGCAAATACAAACCTCCAATAACCGTTGAAATAAAATGATTCTATGTGTCTAAAAATTTTTAGATAAATCGTTCTTAGCTACTAACTTAAGAAAGTTCCCATAGCTTCAGTATTGATGAAAATATGCTTGAGCGAAAATGAAATAGATACAACTACAATATCTAATCATATCTTTTAAATATTATCAATATACAGTGCTACACTAGTACGCAATAGCAAACTTACTTGATAACAAACATCACGTTCTTTAATTATAGGAGGAAGTTTAGCGGTTTCTTTTGTTTCCTCCGTACTACTGGTAAACCTAATGACGCCGAGCAAAACTGCATTAAAGAGATAAACAGTCACTACATGAATACTTTACAGATATAAAGCCATGCATTGGCTTACTGTGAATATTCTATCAATGGATAAAGCTCTATTCCGTTTATTGACTCAATTTTCTAAAAGTAAATGCGACATCAAGTGATCAGGAAAATTTTTGCCATATGGAATTATAGCGCTATTAATCCGTTGTGTATAATTAACTAATTATGTATCAATACTTACTTCTAATACTTTTTCTAAAGGGAGGATTTGAACAGAGTTATCATGTAAATTTAATCTATCTTTCGGTTGTCCGAATGCATAACCATCATTTGTTGTTAAACTATAATATTATAATTAGATTTTAAGGGTTTAACGGATAAAATTTTTCCGCCTTTTTAATCACGAAGTTACCACAATATCGCATTGGTTATAAAATTTTATTATATCCTAATCTAAAAAGCATCTCAGCCACTCTTACTTTGGCATACTACAAATCGGAGGTTCGGACTTTATAAGTTTAGATTTCTTTAGTAATGACTCCAAATCTCCAGCAGCAAGTGACCAAATATAGTAAACTTCTTCAAATAGCCTTAATTAACCACACGATAGTAGTTTTAACCGAATAGTAATTAGTCTTAGGTATAAAATACAGATGCCGTTACGCCTACCTTTCCGATAAGGAACCTTTAGAATTTCGAGATTCTAAGAAATAGAATACTTTTTAGTATGTATTAATTATGCGATGTAAATCTCTCATATCTCCCTTTAAAGTAAAGGTAAAATATGCCGTTGAACTTATATATACACTATATCATTTAATCTATCAACTCACGTTGTCGATATCCTATATTTTGGGATTGTATCATATATGGAAAAGATAGCTTTGTATTATGTAACTGAACCTATTGAGAGATCAATACTTTAAACAAGTAAAAACTAAAGTAAAGTAACAGTCTTCTAATAAAATCTCTGATCTTACTGGCTGCTTGATGCGCAACTCTTCAAATAATTCATCATCTAGTAACTGTTTCGGTAGAAGCCTTGATAAGCATAATTTACAAAGAAAGATCAGATTAGTACAGATTATACCTAATTTAATATTGCTAAACTAATACACCGTAAAGACGATCCAGAGTTTTAATACAAATACCTATTCGTTGGTGAAACTATCAAACATTTTTCTATAAATGATTTTAGCTTGGGGTTTACTGACTAATGAGTAAAATCAAAAATATGCAAGTTATTTAAACATCTGAATTAAATATTACGATTTATTGCATTCTTACCAAGATGCTATCATTGCCAAACTTTTGCATGAAATAAGGCAGTGCGCTATCATCTTCCCCTGTAAAAGCAAATTGCATCCTATTTACATATTTATTGGATATTGGTTTATTCGAAAACGAGTTCTTGTTTGTTTTCGAAAATATTTGCAGAAATGATCAAATTTATTTATTTCTACGAAAAGACAATTCGAATATTTCCTTGCATCGGTTTTCTAGTTTAGTCATTCTACTGAGTAAAATTAGTAACATACTTTCATATAACTGCAATAATTCCTCTGTAATATCACGCAAGTCCTTTATGCTACCATCACAGATGTTCCTTTGCTACATATTATTTAAAACGTATAATGGATAGGTATACATTTGTAAGTCATATACCTTAATAGTGTACTCATAGTATATCATAGAAAATGCGAGATAATTGAAAACAATACCATAATGCGATAAACTAGATGTTAAAAATAGTTAATCTAAGGAAAAATTATCTCTTTGAAATGTAATCACAATATTGTAAATTAAAGTATCCATTGAATTTGTCACGATTTAGGTATTAAAGAATATAGCTTGGACAAAACACTAAATGTAATAGTATATTTTACGTGACAAAATACTTTCACGAACTACTGGCAGATTTAGCCTCTTCATACTCTTGGACATGTCATATGGATATACAGAGTTAGAGATATGTTTGTTATATAAATCACAACAAATGTTGCGGCCGTATGATTTTCCTAAAGTTTCTAATAACTAAGACTAATTCTAAAGCAGTTATAATAATTTTGAATTATAAAAAGCATCTTACTATGACCATTTCTAGTAAAATAATTCCAACGGACCAAACATCAACCTACGAAGTTGCATAAGAAAGATACTGAATATCAACGGAGTAATTTAAGATTTATTTACGCTTTACTGATAAAATGATGTAAACGATAACATAACCAACATTCAATTGTTTTACGAATCCTTAGATTTGGTATTACAGTATCAGAAGTGGTTTACAGTATACACTATAATTATAAAACCTTTTATACCCATAGTAATAACTGTAAGTTGAACTATACGACTGCTGCTATGAAAAACTACACATATCTGACACTTTGCAACTAAAAGTTACGTGAAACAACTGTCGCAATTTAATGCATATGATTAAAATGTTAGCTACACCTTCAAAAAACACGCAAACGACTATCTTTTAAACTAAAGCAGTATATTTGAGCACACAAGAATCATGGCTTCAAGTCTGAAATATTATTCTAGCTAAAGTAGTGAATGAAATTTAATAGTATTATGGTTACCTCAAAATGATGAGAATATACTTAGGGCAGGATATTACTGTATGATACGTTATAAACTACTCATGCCTAAAATTCGTCTTAACGGCTAGGAAATAGTGGGCGTGTAACATTTTACCGTTAAAAACAAATGACGGTTTACCACAGCGATTAATATTGCTTAAAGCTAAATTAATGCTATTGATTGATGTATTACTTGTGCTGTGCCTACGAGTATAGTATCAACTAGCGGAAATAAATCATATGTGGTCAGTACACACAGTACTATAGAATTATAATCTACATGATACCAAATACGATCGGATATTGATCAATATAAGCATTTAATCATGTGCGCTATATCATCGCAATACGAAGCGAATTATTGAGAATTAATTTAAAAATCCTCTTTATATTATCATAACTTATCCAAGTGTACCTTAAAACCGGAGGGACCTAACTCGGCCGCATAATTTGGACCAGCAACAATGGCTTCAGGTGGTAAATACGGGGGATATCCAATAGGAAAGGTAGTTAAACTGCCAAAATGAGTTACGTAATACAGTCCAAAATGCGATAATTTAATGTTGCCCTGGTAGAAGTTGTAGAGTCAATATAGGATTAACTTATGATATATAGTACACTTACTTATTAGCCTTCATAAATCGAAGATTGGCTTTAATAGGTCATTAAATGCAATGAGCTTGCTTTAAAATCTTTATATCACAAAGAAATATCTAACCTCGCTCGCAAGTGAAACGTTAAACGGGGTCAGCGAACGATGAACAATTTCATAGGTATTAAGAAACGCTAAAGCCTGTAATATTTGATAGCCAACTTGTGCTATAGTCGTTGCACTTTCAGTAATAAATGATGGAATAAAATGAAGCGAAATTCATATTATAGACTGTAGAAGGTGATCGAGTAGTTTTCCATCTACTATATCACAGCAAATATTAGTTCCTTAATCTGAAAACTGATTGCTAGATTATCTCTGATTTAGCTACATAAATCTCTAATAAGAATGTAGTTATACCTCAATTGCCTGCCGCTGCGGATACAATCTTGTAGGTTAATTTTGTTATATTCGCAAACTACGAATAAACGTTCTATCAAAACGTATGCAAATAATCAAGGTAAATCTGATCAGTAAATTTATGCCATTATCTTCTAGAACTATTTAAAAAATAGGTAATTTAATCCAATTTGAACTGCACTTCACCGCTAGATTTTTATCACGTTAAATGACAATATTGCAACATTGAAAGTAGAAAGCGTTACTTGTTGGTCATTTTTTAAAAACGTCATTGACATACTATATATTACGCAGATCATGCTCGAAACTTCACCGATATATAGCATAATCTGACTGATTAAATTCTTCCAATTTATCAGAGTAAGCTACACTTTAAGCTAGTAGCAAAGAAAATATAAGCCTCAGACATTAAGTTCTTAGCTAAAGCTTTGCATTGTAGGTTTCCAATTTCGTTGACTTTATAGCTAGCAATGTAGTACAGTATCTCTTACCATGTTTTCCCCGGACTAGATCTATATACTGGCAAAGATATGGATGAGAAATAGATTTCAACAGCTGAAATCTTCCTAAAATTTTAATGGAATTCGGAGTTAAAGGTAAACCATTTATACCATATTTATTAGCTGGTAAGGGGGCAGCCAAGAAAGTAGAAACGCCAAGCTCGGCGTTGCCAAGTAGACCTTCCGTCAGCTGGGTAGCCATAGCTCTGATAGATGTACGGCAAATCTTTAATTAGCATGGCTTGCAATATACAGTATGACATACTGTATACTGTACAGTACAGTATTATAATAAACTGTACTGTACGCTGTACACTGTACAGTACTGTACAGTATATTAATCTTAATCATACAGTACAGTACAGTACAAATCAATTTTATACTTTGCTTTGATACTGTACTGTACCATTAAAATATGGATATCGTACAATTCGACCTGTTCACAAATTCGATCAGCTCGAAAATTTTCAAATGTTGTCAAAATCATTCGCCGAAACTGGTGTTCAAGTAACTACTACATTATAGTGTACTGTATACTGATAGTGTGTATCGACGAAGAGCTGCGCCCGTGATCTAGCGTAACAGTAGAGAAGTCCATAGTCAATATTGTGTACGTTGTTACACTACGTACTGATGTGATCCGTTTTCTTCCATATATTTGAATAGTTTTTAAAAACTAAACTATTGGTAAAACGCTTAAAAAATATCAATCGTTATGAACCTTCGCATACAGATAGGTCTCTTATTATAGAAGTTACCTACTGTGACATTCATTAATTAATGCATCATCAATATTATAATTTTGTTGTGTGATGAATCATATGTTGACACCTAGCTACTAATTAACTAATATTAAATGTCATAGAAAGTGTGTTGTGATTCTGGCTATAATAAGTATGTAGACTGGGTTATTAATTAATTACTGTTTTTGCACCAACGAAGTTGGTGAGGATATATAAAGTCTCAAAGTTCTTAATTGAGAGTTAGTTACGTTAGTCGATGACAGATGGCTATCAGTTGCTAGTCGTAATTGTAAGTTGTGCGTTCAATCGGACATTTTAATAAAATAGCTTCTAGAATAAAGTTTTGATCCTTAACGTGAGTAATCTATCGTCTAAGACTCGAATCTAAGTTTGGTTGATTAAAGAGTGCTTAGAGTTAGTTGCTTAGATAGTTAAGTCTACTTTAGAGGAAAGAATCCCGTTTAATTCTTGTGTTACAATCTCGGTTGTGACACCTACTAATTGATTAATCTTTATCCCGATGAAAATTAGCTAAGTCAAGAGCTATGTGCACATATTAAATCCATGCATTTGCTATCAATTTTGTACAAATTGATGCAAAAGTTGTAATATCGAATGTATCAGATCACGTCGTACTGGGGGGTACTTCTCTTCATTTTACTTTCAGATTTTGCACTCGATGTTCAGATTAACTGTACTCTGTACAGTGTACAGTACTGTAAGTCAGGGTCCTTAATTTAGCATTTTGGGGTCGCCGTAATAAGGCGCTAAAACTGTACTTAGAGTACAGTACAGTACAAGGACTTTCAGTCCGTGACCAGAGTTCGGACAAGACCAGATCAAGAGATCCAGTGATACTGTACAGTGCAGCGTACTGTAGTCAATGAGTGTTAGGTACAGTACTGCACACTGTACTGTACATTGTGCGGTCGGACAATTTTATCCTGTCGACATCTCTATGCAGTATACTGTATAGCGTACACCTATCGATAGTTTGGTTACCGATACTAACTACTTCTTTTAGTGAACAGTTGTCGCAGGCTCTGGTATCTACTGTATGTTTTTTCTTACCTTTATGATTGACGCGCGACAAGGACTTCTCCAAGGGTCTCTAGTGCGCACGATCATGATATCAATATGATATCCATAAAAGCAAACTACTGTACTAGAACCCAATGTTTTTACTATATCAATTGTCATTTGTCGTTCATTAATTAATTATCCTTCAGACGAGTAAAGTCACAGTTTAAAATTTACAGTAAAAACATTTATAAATTAATCATTAGCGGAATGCGAATAGAAAAGATCTTAGTTAGTTCATTGATATGGATATTTGTGGTATGTGACCATTCAGGCATACTTGTATCATCATCTGATGAAACTCAAGCAAGGAGTTTTATACAATTAGGTGGCATGTTACAATGTTCCTCGAAAACGTCCGGTTTCGATCTCATCGATTATGGCTGTTTCTGTGGTATAGGTGGTAAAGGATCTCACCCTGTGGATAATATAGATAGATGTTGTCAGCAGCACGATCAATGCTATGGGCGAGCGCATTCAATATGTAAAGCCCATGGGACTACATCCTATTTGGCGAGTTATAATTGGCAGTGTATTGCCAAAAAAGCGATCTGTTACGATAATCACTCTCATACATGTTCCCACATTGTCTGTAGGTGCGATGCCAAATTCAGTGCATGTATTCAAAAATATATTCGGGAATACAGAATCAAGTATCTCGGTTACGACAGAACTCATTGTTATTAATCAAATGAGACTAGTTAATGCTTGCTATCAGTCCTATAATTGATATGTTATAGGTTGATAAAGATTTGTACGCATCTTCGCTTCCATTTCCCCTATTGAATGCCGTAAAATTCACGAAGACCCTTTGGAGAAACGTCGTTCCTGTTACTATGGTACTCTTCTGTTACGTTTTTTTGGTTAAAACGTTATTAAGGCATTCACTATTGTCATCGTTATTCCATTAAAGGTTTATTGAGTATTTCTTTACCAGTATAGTACCGTACTTAGAATGGACTATTTTTATCAACTTGGGTGGTTTGCCCGTCAACGTAAAATACAGAGCGAAACAGCTGTGAAATTGAATTAACTTTATTTATTTTAACGCGTATTTAATTTAAGTAGGTAACCCGTTAAAATATTCATTATTTCCCAACTTATAACCTAATTCGTGATAAAGTATAACCCTTACTATATAATATTTATATCTTACGCATACTAATATTCAATGACATTTCTTATTTATTTTATTTGATAACGGCCTTGTTAAGTAATAATTAATTATCATTACGGTTATAAAGACGACAGCTGATAAATTTTCTTTCCTCCCCTTGACTTAATTTCTGGTTTAAATCTAATAGCTTCTAAGCTATGATATGTCTATCCTCGGATATACATTAGTCAGTGATCAATGATTCTTCATTCTTAGCTTTATCGTATGTTTATAACTTGGACACGTATAACTTGATGAAAAACATCTTGATGGTTGTTATACAGAGTACAATGCCAGTACAATAAAAGAAAGATTAGTAGTCTATTACTGCTTAATCTCTCAGCCGTTAATATGTTTATAATTTGTTGTACTCTTACTTTGTTACAGTATCACAATAACGAAGTAACATATGCATATGTTAGAATAGGATTAATAAAGTCTGTTAAAAAAGAAATCTTGAGATTCGCATTCATTTATACGAGTGATAAGAATTTATCGCTGAAACTTTGCACTACAAAACCTCTGATTCCGAGAGATTTCAGTCTACTCACTATGCAACACTGCTTCAAACACTAGATCATTCCTTCCATTTTTCCTGTCCTCTGGTAGTCTCATCTAACTTCTCAATAAAAATGTGTCTCTCACTATACCTTGCAGTGTTTTGCGATCGTATAGTGAATGAGAAGGAAGTAGCAAAACATTGACACCTTGTGAACTAACGGTGCTCCATGGTGGTAACTCCTTGTAGGCTTATAACACCATACTGTAGACCACTATTAACAGGGGCGCGGCGAGCCCTCTAAAATGGTTGAAAGATGTTTAGCTATAGTGTTGCCCTAAATTATGTCTTTAAATTGTGAATGAATGTAGTTTAAATTTGACTTAAATTCCACGCAGACAGATCAGTACAACCTTGAGCAATTGACTCTTGATATTTTTATTATTTTTTATCGCAATATTGAATAATTATATTTCTTTAAAGTTTCTAATACAAACTATCAGTCGCTGTTACATGTTCGGTCGATCCAACCATTTTGCAAGTCACGTCGTAATACCGGTCACATACTGTACGATGTACACGAGTATTACTGAACAACTGAAGAGTGAACCGAAAATACGCGTATAGATGCTTATGGCTTGGTCCTAGCAATATAAGCTCAATATATGTAATTATATGGAAATGTATCAAAATATAATCTTATGAATTACTTATAATTATTAGCACTCTATTATTGACCAGAGCAAAAATGTTTTCAGAGACCTTAATAGACAGTACTGCCCATTAAAATTTAATTTTAACAATCGCTCTACACACCTCAACCCGAAGATAAGGTACGCGATTGAATAACGAAGATACCGCTTGCTGCGCAAGTACTATAGTAGTCGAATTTTTTAGTCATAAACCATAATCGGATCTGCATCAATAAGACCTATGCAGTGATATTCCTTGCCACGGTAAATTGGTGATCAATACCCTGTGGTTTGAAACACTCATATCTAAACAACTGATTCATGTGGAACTACTCGTATTTAGATAGTTAACCGGCTCATCGACGTAACAATTATTTAAAAATATAGGCACCTAACCTGTCTGCCATTCGCACGGTCGTTTTCACCCTACTGTAATACGATTCAGTTACGAAAAATTTACTTTTCGGATATTTGCCCAAATAAAGTTCGCTATAGTTGATACATTATTTAATATAATTACTGCAGTATAAATTGTACTTTGGATTCCATTTAAATAGTGCTGCTTCAGGTCTATGAAGAGTAGAGATAAAAACTCTTTTGTTAGCTTTCGCAATGATTAATCAGGATTCCAAATTCGTCGCCATTAGATCGATGTACGAGACGATAATGAAATTTTCTACAATAAGCAATAATGTTAACATAGTTAATGTCAACAAACCACAATTTGTGAAAATTAAAATTATTACCGTGATTTAACAATCTTAAGGTATAAATAATATGAATTCATTACATTTACAATCTCTTACTCATGTTTACAGACGAAGATGGCCTTTAAGAGTCATACTCAGATAAGAGATGTCAGAAGCCGTCTAATCAATACATATATACTGCATATTATACAGCTATTTACAGCTAACTGATCGTTTAAATATATAATAACTCGATATAATTATATATACAGTATGATAAAGCCGATAATTATGACCTTAAAATAATGCTCAAATATGTCCGGTAGAATTATTTTAATGAGTTCGTGTTTATGTTACGTATAGGTTAGTATATTGTCTTAGGAGTTACTCACGATACGTGTATGATTGTTTATTGAGTATGATATCAACTACTATATTATTATGAGAAATCTCATTCGCACAGGTATAGTATGCGGGTTAGGCTAGTTCGAGTAATAAATGATGAGATTCTTTCAGCTATACGGAAAACTTCCATATTTTTATCTCTTTTGAGGGGTTCAGTCAACGTATTATTATCATTCTAAACAAGTTAGCAATCCACGGACAATCAGTCCATAAACAGTTTAAAATTAATAGATCAGGTAAAAATAGATGTGAAAGCAATTATTCTTCGCTTGATACAAAACGTGTTAATAATTTTTTAACATAAGCAAATATACATTATACAGTCCAGTGACCGTCATTAGGGACAGTCACTCTGTCTACATTGCTCGTCATATAGCGGCTGTAATGCATAATGATGATCACAGAACTGTAGTATAACTACGTGGTCGTTAGTATTTGCTGCTGTAGCAAAATTGAAGCAAACAAATCGATACGTTTACTATCCGAATAAGTTAATGATCCTTTTCATACAAATGCCCGATAGCATAGAAGTTGAGTTATTTATATAAAAAAACTATACCTCATCGTTCTATTTCCCTGGTAAAGGAATATAAGTACGCTATAATAGATAATGCAACCAAACATATCAAATTTAATATTATCCGAGCAATAGAACCATAATAAAATACCAATTTATGAGTATAGTCGTTTCACATTAACACGATCTTTACTAATCTCCAGAGCCTATGATATATCAAAGTTCATTTTCGCAGATTCCAATGCGAATCTACTTGCCGGTAAGGATTAAAGACTATTTAACACATGGCTAGTAAAATTTATGAAGCTATCAAATTCAGCTGATCAATTAAATGCTTATGTAAAACAGTAGCTATTTTAAATCAAACACTAGTAGCACTATTATCCCGTAGGCTAATCCACAGCTTTTTCGCTACTAAAGATGCAATCTATCATAAGAAAATTAAAAATTTAATGTACTCGCATTGATGACCAATTTTTAGTATAAAAGATTATGATATCGCTGTAGTGTTAACTATGTGCATAAAAGGAAACTTAATAATTCATAAATTTTCTATATTTTGCAGTTTAAGTATACCGTCAATTATTCTTTGATACAGGTGCTCCAAGATCTAAGAAGATCAACGATAATTGGTAGATGTAAAAGATAAATCGCGTTGCACACGTAGGCGTATGCCCACTATACTTGTATGATGCAAAAGATCTATAGGCGTAAAAGACGACGTTTACTAGATTTGATTAAAATATGATAGATCGACTTTAATTACTGATTTTTTCTAATAAATGGCAATTACAGTTATTACTGTTGTCCTTTAGAAAATTTTTATTAGTATCACTGCGTCACGAAGTAGAAGTTTCGTAATTGATTTACTACGTTAGACTCGTAGTCATAATTCGTAAAATCTGTATGTTTGATGACTAAACTGCAGACACTTGTTTTCATTTTGGAACTGTAATCTTTGAGATTAGGGCTTAGATAACACTTTTAGCACAATATGTTCTTATCTTATATTATTTGTCATAAACTTAGTTTATCTCATTGATTGACGTGATAAGGTGCCCATTACTATTCATGGTAAGCCGTTATATAGAAAGTTATTACAATTATTCGCTACTTATAAGGATACTGATATCTATAATAAAGTTCAGTTCAGTACTCAAGCTCTAGTGGACTCTTTTATTCGTATTACAAGAAAACCTTACAAAAAGAAGTTCGTAATACACTGCTAATAAATATGCAATAAAATTTATCGAAATAACATCCTCTACTATACACCTGTTGTCGCTTTAAAGCTAACAATAGTTGTTTCTTTCTTTAATAAGTTTTGTATATCTTAGAATCCTAACTTCAGTCGCTTGCAGCTTGGAAATTAGAAGGTAACATACCTCGATATTTGATTGCCTTTTGTGAACTTTATCAGACAATGCTATCGCTACTATAATCTGAAAAGTATTTTTAGTGCAATAAACGATTTATCTGATAATGGCGAGAAATCAATGAAAGTACAATCAATTTCTCATGCTGTTAGTAGATACCGGTACTACATTACAGTACAGCCGCTACTTTACTTACCATACATGAAACAAAGTTAAGCAAAGACGTAAATAGGAAAAGTATATTGTACGGTGCAGTAAAATAACAGATAACAAATCTTCATAATGACTATCGTAACAAGATTGCACCTGCATAGAACACTATGCATTAGAAGAAGTACCAGCTGCTTTGAGATCAATAACAATTAACCATGATAGTTTAAATAATACATTTGTTATAAATCGATCGGTAAATAAATCTACAATAAAACATACCCACAGTCTGCTAATCTTTCACAATGCTATATTTATATTTAGACGATGGTCTATGTTTGTGGGCTGATACAGGAACATAATTAAATTATAATTACATTCGTTCTTTAGGCCATTGTAATTTACGTGATGGATTAAAATTTTTTATATCTCCACAGTTTATATAAGATAAAAAGGATTGACACTGAGTTACCCTATCTTAAGGAATATACCGTATGATTTACCTGAACGAGTTTTTCTTTGAAATCTGAATATTAGTATATAATATCCTTGCTACTGTGAAATCAACATGTAGATACCTGTATATCTCAAAATAAGGAAGGAAACTATTCACCAAATTTGTAATTCTCCTACTCAATTTATCCGCTTGAACTTATTGACACTGGCTTAATTTTTACTATAAATAGTAGACATAGATTAATGTTTAAAGTATATAGTATTCTTTGTTAGGATTTGTATCTTTTAGTCCGTAAAGCCAGCGACCTATCCTTAATTCCGGTACTGTAATGTAATACATATGGAGCAATTTCTGTGTTCCCTTGGATAATTTGCGTTTAATTTACACTATTTAAATTAAACATGGGCTGATTTTTTCGTAAATGGAGTTATTTGTAAAACCTATTAAATTTAAATCCAAAATATAAAAAGTAATAACTTTCTGTTAAACTAGCTAAGATTTTAAACTAGCTTACCCCATTAGCAAATAGTGATGAAAATTGTATATGTCCAAGATAATGGTTAGACAATCCATTTTCTGATCGCTATTAGTCAACAAAAAGCTTTTAGAATCTAGCACACCTTACCTCGATTGTCTAAGAAATACACTGCATGGCATTAATGATTTACTGGTCAACGAATTCTTTTGTTATTTCTTAATTACTTTAAACATTGTTTGTCATTTAGCATATATGATCATTTGATCATGAAATACTACCAGTATATGACAACTGACATGCTACTCGCACGCCCGGCATATTAGCAAAAATCTCATGGTGGCAAGAATTTAATATTTTACTTACTGAAATTACTGTTGACAAAGACACTTGTCAGCATAAATCTAAACATTTACAATTAAGATCTACTATTACTTTGTAAGATTCACTTAAAGGACAAGCTTGAGTCAATAACCTAGTATTCATTCTTTATATACTGAATTTTGCATTTCTGAATTGGATTAGTCCTAAAATAGGTTCTTTCATTAAATTTCTATCTTTGTAACATGGCTTATTATGAGTGCAGATAACATTAACTTTAATTAGACTTTACTAGTACTCGCAAATCTATGCAATTATAACATTTCATTATCCGAACCTTAATCATAAATTAATAATTTGTAAATTAAGTTTAAGTTTAAAAACGTGCTTTAACTGTAGCGATTTCATCATTTCTTCCCGTAATTTTTAAATATTTTATGACAAATATAATTAAGTATCAGAATTACAAACAGACACCAAAAAACAATTGATGAGAGCCTTTAGAGCTCAGTTGCAAGAATCTTATCATCCATAAACATCATCAAAAATAATTTTCATGTGTTTCCTGTAATGGTCAACGGGCTAATTTCGCTTACAGAAAGCGTTCAAATAATGACCCATAGATGATACTATCAATATCTTTACGATTAATAAACATTAATTTATATTTATCTAGACTTTGGCGCAGTTGCTATATTACACAATTTCGACCACAAGTACAGCATGTATCGTCAAGTTTCAATTTCATCATTTCTCACTACTCATTACCCTAGCATTAATCGATTATGTGCACTCTCCTCTAAATATCAGTCATGATAAACACATTTTTGGAAAACTATAAGCTTTAACTCTATAAATTTAATTTTTACGTTCATTTTTATGCTGGCCGATAGCAGCTTCGAATTACTACGGCTACACAAGAAGTGAAAGTTGTCTCAGCTCAATTAATAGGGTGGTTCAAATTATAAATAATTCAACAAATTTTTAATTTTCTATAGTACGAATAAATCGTCCGTATTAAGATCATATAAGTCCAATGATATTGATTATTAGCAACCCTATGCATAATGTAAAGAAGACAGTCTATTAGTATCTAGTTCTATCAATAGAGAAATAAACAATAGTATTATTTATTCGTCACATCATGATAAATTAATCGATCTAGAATATGATTAATTGCTATTTAATACACTATTGTAATACATTAAGTTTGAAAGCATAAAATTTAAAATACACGTAAATCATTAGTTAACACACGACAATAATTATGCGATTTTTATTTGCCACAAAGTTGTAGGAAATGCTATATATGCCGATATACCTAGAGTATAAGAAGGAGACTCTTCAACTCTTTCATTACTTTTTTACATACCAGTCATGGGAAAGAATGTTCATAAGATGGGTGATGCTCAATTAAACAATAGAAAACAGTTGCCTTCCGTTTATTAATGACGTGGTACTGGTAATTGTCAGGTAATTAATTGTTAGAATATCGGATAAGATGATAATCTAACTATTAAAACATCAATTTGCTGAAAGAATGCCATTATTAAATTTTTAAATCAATTGTTAATGATAAGACAATAAAGAGGGATAGATTTAATTGTCGTCAACAAATAATCAAAAAGAAATTAACAACAAGACAATTGAGAATATAATTATTTTGTCAACAATAAAATTAACATTCCACTAATATACAGGTGCTTGATATTGCTCTGGATTCTCATGTATCAAGTATTGCAGTAAACTATTTAAACCTGATTATTTTGGTCCACTCTTCTGCTAAGCAAATTAAATTGCAGTATTTGTTACTACAAGTAATAGTATTATAACGTTCATATCTGAGCTGATCTAGATCCTAATCTTTTTTCATCCGGTATCATTTATTAAACTGCTTACGAAATAATTGCGAATGGATTTATCCAAAATTAAAACTGGTGTGTGGACGTCGACGTCCATCCCGCATAACTTAAAATTTGGCCCATATAAGGACGAATTAAAGTTTTTCGAGAAAGCTAGTGATAACAGAGAAACTGCTTTCATGTTAGAGGTACGTTTAAGGTTCATTCCGCTTATTAGTAGTGATCGTTTCTCAGTATGTAACATAGTGACCTTTAGAATTTAATAATTCATTTTTATTCTCCATTATTAACTGCATTATTAATATCATGAAGGATGCTAACGATATTTTAAATATATGCGATAAAGACGGCAGTAAGGAATTGGATTATGCTAGCAAAATGTTAAATATTTACAAATCAAAATAACTATCCATATTAAGGCGGATTTAGGAATATAAACTTACAAAATTAGTAAATCGTGTGGTATTTAATTTCTTGGTATTACAACAAATCAATACTGATGATTTACTTTATCCTGGTTTAATCGTCCCAGAAACATATTTATGATTTTGTATCGTGTAAATTTATGTAACCAAAAATATGTAATCTACTAAGTTTTTGTGAGTACATGTAGTATGAAGGTGTACAGTACACACATCATGTTATAGTATTTCATCACTATCTATTACTGATGCGGTGATAGAAAGGATCTACTAGTAATTATGATAAATTTGTTAGAGCCATAAACCTTTTACTTACTTAAAAATATAGGTACAGATTAAAAACGGTAATATAATCTGCACGAGTAATATTGTGAACGGGTTAGAATGGGTGGCGTGCATGAGCTGCGCAAGAAACAAAGACGAACAAAATATCGAAGTACAATTTAATGGACACACTAAAGAAATTCACTTTAAAACTACAAGAGATATTACTCGCCACGAAGAATTACTAGTTTGGTTTAGCCAAGAAATGGAAAAGAAATGGGATATCCCTCAACCAAAAAAAGAGAATATAATTGGTAAATCATAATATAGTTATTATCTATTAAGCGCATTTGACAGGGAATATAATTTAACTGAGTTTAAGAGTTAATTTCGGCGACTGAAAGCATATGAAATCTAGATTTTAATTCAAGAATTTATTTATTTATCCATTTGCTTCTGGAAATTTTTTCTATTTAGGCCCTAATTATTTCTGGTGCACATTATGTCACGCTACCTATCGATATCTACATCCGTTTATAGCGCACCTAATGTGCAAATGCCCTGTTCTTTACTCTAAGTCGCCTCCAGAAAATGCTAAGGAACTAAAGACCCGTGGCTCTGACAGTACTCAATCACCAATGTTTATGATACCATCTAGGATACCTGTTCAGTCAGCGTCTTCTGGACATCTGCATTCAGCGGCTGATAGGATAACCAATTATCCTGGCGAATTTGATATTCCAGGATATAAGGCATTTCAACATTCATCGTTGTGGAATAATCGTGTATTACCTTGCTATCCATACAACGAAAATAATTTTATGCGCACTAAATCAGCTAATCCTTCTAGTAATGCATGCGCTACCGCAACTTGGTTAAATTTTATAAAGACACAGTGTAATCCGTTAGTTTCAATAGCACCTTCATATCTAGTTAAAGGTCATGTTGCGCCAGTAAATCCCTGTTTACGACCTGCCAATTTCCCTCATTGTACTTTAGAACGCAGTCCACCGACTAGCAATCTTCACTTAATGAATAACTCTTATATTAATAATAAAAGTATTGACTTAGAAGAGATGAGATCTGTACCTTATTATCAAATGAATTCTGCTTCTTCAAATGCGTCTTCTGCAGTTTCACTTCTTCAAAGAAACATCGTTGACCATTCAAAGAAAACAACGAAGTCAGCCATAACGTCTCATTCCGCAACATTTCCTCCAACATCGAGCAGAGATAATATGTTTCTGACGGCTGCAATCAATCAAGACAACTATCCATCATCAAGCAACAAGAATAACACGCGGCAAACCGCGATGTCGACCAGTAAAACTTATAAAACCCATACTAACAATGCGACTCGTCACCGGTGTCCTTACTGTGGGAGAACATACTGTCGAAAATATGTTTTAAAGATCCATATGAGAATTCACACTGGTGAAAAACCACTATCTTGTAATATATGCAACAAGTCATTTAGCGATCCTAGTAACTTAAAAAAGCACTTAGCATCACATACAAGAGACAAAATTCCACTTAAATGTGAGCATTGTGGGAAAGACAGTTTTGACAGATTATGTGATCTTGTACGTCACATAAAATCAAAGCATCGATTATTTAAAAAAGACTAACTCATGGTCTCAACGAAAAACGATTTAAAATTTGAATTACTCATCCATAACGCATAATGTATTAGATATACTTGAAGATTGCAATCCTCAAACACTGCATTTATCCTCGCTTTCAGCGTTTAAATAATTACTGATTTGGCTTCTAAGCCATTATTTATCAACATTGTTTTAATTTAGAGTATTTACCGCTATTAGGATTTTGAGTGACTATCGCACTTGCTATATGGACTTAAATAGGTACTTAAATGCTTAATTTCTTACGTGATAATCTTTTGACAGTTCTAGATGAATATTACCAAGATCAATTATATTGAATAATATTCATTTTATCAATTTCCATGATGCCCGATAATAATAGGTGATAAGATGATGAGATGGGTATTTTTAAGATTAAATGTCTAAGCTGAAGAGTTTCATATGGCAATGCTACTCCATAATTCATATCCATTTCTTTTATCTTCGTCTAAAGTTGAAGGATTTCGTACCGATATATACAGTAGTAACCTTCATGATTGTACAGTATAACGAACGGAATATTTTCTTGTATATCATAATTTACAGTTATATGCATTAAGTAAATATAATATATAAAATTCCCTATATAAAATGCCATTGAACTAAATTGTGTTCGTATATACTTTATGCGGATTGTCGTTACATTGCTGATTTTTTCGTGAATTTTACTGAATGCAGGCATTATTTGGTTATTCATGTAAGACTTTATGCAATGCGTCCTGTTATTGAGAGATTAAAGAAATATGTTATTACATCTTCAAGTTATAGCAACTGTATCGTTCTTTGATCAAAATCAGTTGAGTGTGCCGTTGTGTTTCCACTCTTAGTCGTTAACGTTAGCACGAAGGACTTTGATACACTCCTCCTAGTAAGCTTTCTGAAAGTCTCGTTTATTTAGGATTTACTGCATTTAAATAGTACTGTATAGCGGTAATAATGTATTATACCCTTATCTTAGTAATTCATTACCTTTATCTTATGCTAACACAATGTGCAGTACAACAGGTTACTGTATTCTTACGTACATAACACGTACCACTATTGATTCTTACCACAAAGAAATTATACTAGAGAAAATGTGGTATTGCGTCTCAATCTATAATTTGAAACTACTGATTAAGAATACTACATTATAAAATCAATGGAGTGTTCCTGATTAGTAAGCTGATCACAATTTTTAGTTGTTATTGAAGTATAACGGTCTACTAAAAGTCCATATAGATTTCGTTGACGCCTTGTCGGCATCATAGTTCTTAACACGTTTTCATCATTTCTACACTCGTATATTATAACTATTTATAGTTAGTGCAGTACGCGTATTATACTTTAGACGTTGGTAAAAACAGCAGGCTCTAATTTTGACATGTAATTTACTAATCGTAAAATTAAGCGTATTAAAGTTAATAATTACAATTATTACGTAACCCTTTGTTTTCTTAACTGTTTTGCATTCATTCCGAAACAGTATATTATATTAGCGAGCTATCATGTTGCAATAAATCCTTGTTTACTTTGCATTCCTTAAGATTTTTATTACAAATTTCTGTTCCTGAAGTAGTCCCTGACCAGGTCTAGTCCCTGTACACTGTACAGTACAGTACAAAAAATAATGTCACCCCTTTCGGGTTAGTACCTGTGATCATCATTAGTGGTAGTTCTAATATTAGTCAACACTTTGGGTGTTGGGGGTACTGTATGGGTTCGGCAGTGCAGCTGATTTAAAATGGTCAGTCTATGTACTAAGCACACCATGACATCAGTGAAGATTTAAATTCCTAATATGAGCCTAATAATAATAATTTTGGCTAAAGTAGGGAGTTGTTAGGAGTTCCTGACTAATTCATTGCTCCATACATACCGTACAGTGCAGTGCAGTAATAATATATAATATAATCAACACCACAGTACAGTACTTATAATCTTAACGGAGCGGCATTATCAATCTTTGGTTACATGTTCAGACGGACAGACAACTAGCCTAATTTGGTTAACAAATTGTATCAAACACTTCGTTATGACAATACTTTAGTATGCAGACAGTCGATTATGACTTTACTGATTTTTTCTAAATTAAGTAATAAAATTACATTGTAATCCATTGCCTGTTACTAAGCTTTGCCTGGAAGCAGTAACTTTAGATCAGAAATGCTATTTCAAATTAATACGAGTGATTTATTAGAAAGTAGAGCCGGAAGATCCGTACTGAGTAATTATTTTTCGACATTTGAGGAGGGTGTCCAGTCCACTGTCCAGGTATTTATCGCAGTTATTATTTAGGTAAAAACGTACAGTGCAGACAATGTGTAGTACTGTAACTGTACAGTGCAGTCTGTACTGTACTGTACAGTACTGTACTATACTGTACTGTACACTGTACCGTACAGTACCGTGTTCTTCTATGACAAGTACTGTATTGTACAGTACTGCACATTTTGCTCCAGCAATCGTTTACGATGGTACAGTACAGTAACAAGTGACCCAGTCGCGGGCTATTGACATATTACTAGTACAGTAGATAATAACGCTCGAAAAACATAAAGAAATCAAAAAATCGGAGATGGATCTCACGGATGACGCAGATGATCAGGTTATGATCTAATGTGATAAATTTGCTTTATTGTTCCTGATATATATATATATATATATACACTCAAAATGGAAGAATTTAACGGTAATTTCTTCCCTTTAGGGCAAGAAAGCATCGAAATCTGATACGGTAAAATGTAAACATAGAAAGTTCGATGACTTCACTCTCTAGCGTTCAGCACAATTTTCTCTACACTTCTCTGAAACTGCTGCATTCGTCTTCGTCAAAATTCGTTAAATCTAGATTCTAATCAATGGGTTATAATTATCTTTGAAGGATACAGTTGGTAGTCTCTAGTAACACATTAAATGTCTAAGCTTGCGAAATGAAAATTGAGTAGTATGAAACGATACTTATTGAATAGTATTATGCAGTTGTTTGGTATTAAGATTTTCTGGCAGCATGTCGGTAGCGTTTATTGCTTGGCGTTGTAAATACGACCTTTTTGATTTAGATAAGAAAAATCGCTTAAAACATGCCATCGCAACGGCAAATAGCTATTCTTTATTTAATATGATATTCATTACAGCATTTAGAATCTACAGAAAGTGGAAGTAAACGGAAAAGACTGTTTAATAAAGAACGTAAGTAAAGAGCGGTGAAGTATGTCTACAAGAATTAGCTAATACATTCACTATGAAATCTAGTCTGTACAAAACATCAGAAAAAGACTTAGTAATTCATGTTAAAGAGAAATCGAATTAAAATCTACACTGTATAATGTTTACTTCTCTCGAATTACTTGTCTGCTCAAGCTGATTTTACTATATACTTTTATTGCTTGGCTAATCAAACGCTAACAAGGCAATAGCATTTAAAGCCCTTTAAGAACTTACTGTAAATACTTTGGAATCCTTTACTTGTTAAGTACTTACAGAGTCAAAGAGAATGCAATTTATAATTGTATGTATAATATCTAAAGTTAGGTGCATGATGTATGGCTTTGGGGATGAAGCTACTGCGTATACGGAATCAGTGGATATGTTGGAAGAGATGGTGATAGAATTCATATCGGACACGGTTTGAAAGCACATGATATTTATCTCTACGTATGGAGATACTGTAGAATTAGTGTCTCCCCTAGTGTCTAATATAATGAATGATTACGCTTATATTGATTCGCTATTTAGATCATATTAAATATTTTAAAATAGACATTGAAGGCCTTAAACGTTGGAAAGAAAGGAAAGATTCACGTCGAAGACATTATATACGTTATTCGTAATGATCCGAAAAAATATGCTCGAGTTAAGGTAACTTAAATTTGTAAAATACAATATATGTTAACATATTTGTGTATTCCCCCAATTATGCTATACTTAAAATTTGTAAACAACAGCTTTAAATACATGCCCTAAATTAAATAAATTACTTTGTCGTATTTCCTCCACATTCAGGATTTATTGACCTTAAATGAGGAGCTCAAGAAGGCAAGAAAAGCTTTCGATGATCGCCAAATGCTATCTATAGATCAATAACTATAGAAAAATTCATGCCCTTTTATCCGGGTTGACGCTATTGAACTCGCTACGTTATTATCGAATAATCTCAGTCTGGCATATTGCTAGATTTATTGGCAAATAGCTTAATCTTTCATAATTGGATTAGATATTGACGAGCTAAATGTAATGTTCCTCTAGTGCCCAACTTTAAATTGCTAGCATTATTCTCTATAATAAGTCTTGATACTCATGGTATAATGCAGAACTCCTTTGTAGATTACTTAGTATCCGTGAGAAATCAATCACGGCTACTTGAGTGTTACTCATAGAATTATCATTTTTCGTACTATTTTACCTACTGTAAATTTCTAAAAAGAGAATATACAATTTAATCTGGTATTGTCTTCGTTCATTACTAATATTTGAAGTACATTGATTTACAAAACGAATAGATTATTCAGCTGATGTTTTATTGAATTACATTCTATTTCTATAAATATACAATTCTTGAAAAATACTGTATATCATCTATCGTAAGATACCTTCCTGTAATAATTATAATACAAATCACAATTTGAAGAATACATGTGTAACAGTAGGGAGGATAATTTTAGTTATCGAATTATTATACACGGAGGCAATACGATACTTGAGATTGTCGCTTACTACAAGAATAATTTGTAATAACGATTGCTAATATTCAGTATTTTATATGTAAGAAATTTATATACCTATACTTCACAAATGATGGAAACTTGGTGCTAGTCGTTTAAGCTCTCAGTTTTTACATATCCAACTCAGAAATCTTTGCGATTATAACAAACAGCTATAGTTGCAAGCTGTTGTGCTCTAATTCTGATCTTCTTTCAATAAATTGGTTCAATCTCTGCATAAATAGGCTATCGTAGAATTTTGTTTTATTGGGTTAATGTATAAATTAGATGTATATGCAAAACATTTATTGAAGCTATTAAGCTTACCGCTTATTATCTGCTGTAAATCCTGATTTACCAAGTGCTATGTTTATATATGTCTGATGCTCCTGCCATTATAATTAATGGTAAACTATGATTAATTATCAGCGACATCGTGAATTTAATAAACGATTATTGTCCATGTACCTGACAATACATTTGTATTCGTAAAATTGTAATTTAACGAAGTATGTTAGCTTAACTTCTAGAGGTATTTTCGTTAAGATTACAATATTAAAAGAGCTATTGCAGTGCAAAATCGAATGCTAAGCTCGCAAATGTTCACCTTAATTCTTGTTTCTACCATTTCAACTTGTTTCATCACTTTCTGAATTTGAATCTGATATGAATCGGTATGATTAACATCGAAGTAATGATTTATGATACTAATGATTATTTCGTTGATTTACTTAACACCCTATCTTGATTTCTACATCAGGTATCTTAGGTTAGGTTCATTAATATCAGAAAATTTACCTCGGTTTCTTTAATGCATTGGTCCAACCTTTGGCACACTGTTGCCGGGACAAGAGTTTTTTTCTGATGCTCTTTCATTTTTTGAATTATTCTTCTTTTATTATAAATCTGAATACATTTTAGATAATAAGGAGCGTTCAAAGTTCAAATTTTGATACAGCATTGTATTACAATAACATGAATTCGTTGCATATAACTATTGGAAGACTAACCATTACGTGAAGTTCATCTATCACTTTATCTACTTCTTTTGGTTTCTCTTCAACATGTATCACAAGTCTTTTAGGCGTAGCTATTATAGAAATCACGAAAATTTAGCTTTGATAAATTACATAAAATTGTTTTATCCACTCCGCTACAGTAAATTTTAGAAATATATGCGTTCTATTGAGACCTGCAATTTCATCTATAGCATTTTGTGTAAGCTGTTCCTCCTTTCTTAATTTTTCTCTTAGCCTGATTCAAATAGGATTTTTATAGTAACAATTAAAGAGCATATAGAATACTATAGAGAATGGGGGTAATTATAGCATATTATAATAATTGATGAAACTGGACTAACGTACTTATTTTCTGCTGTATTACTTTAACCTTATGGTCTGGAATAAAACATACAAAAATTACCTAACATTCTCCTTTAGGTGAACATTTATTTGTTCTTCTAAGATATCAACTGAAAGCATCCCTCTTTTCAATTCTGGAATATATTTGGCAGTATTTTTATCTGATAGTTGCTGTACACCATATCTTACAGATTCAAGTATAAGTGGTTGTCTTCGAAATAAGTAATTTAAATAATTATCATATTCAGCCTAAAAGTAAGATATTTCGTTGATTTAGGATGAATAGAAGCTATATGTGTAATTCTTTTATACATCTTTCATGATTCAAGATTGTTATTCATATTCAAGTGACTGACCTTGATTAACTTCAATATTCCTTTATAAAGCTTCGATAAAGTAATAATTTTATTAAAAGAGTTACTAAATTTATTAAGGGTTTCCATATAATCATTGCTTGCCTCGGCAATCTGAAGTTCCTGTAATATTACCAGTAATAAGTTTAAACGAAATTAATAGTAACTATCGGTATAAAATTTTCACACATTTACGGATCACTTATTTCTTACATTTTGCAATTTATGTTCTATATCTTCTACCCGTCTATCTCGAAACATTCCTCTGTCTTGAATACTCTGACACTTGACTACTGCTCGATCTAATTCTCGAAGATGTTTATATTGCTCTTTACGTTTTGCATGAAGTGTATAAGTATTGATAAATTTGTTCTCGAAGATGGCATCTTCGTCATTATTTTCATCATTAGCGGTGGAGCTCAAGTTGTTTTTGACTACTACCGGAAGCATGACATCGGGAAATCCAACTTCTTCTATCAATACGGGCCCAACTAAAAAGATATTAATCATTAAATTGTTATAATACAGTGAAAATTCTACTGCGAAAAATATTGTCGATAATAATTTTATGACATTAGGATTACTGTACATAACTATCTGAAACAATCTATTTCATGTAGATTTATTAAGCCGTGCTGCGCTGTACATGAAACGTAAAATATATCAGTTTTATTTATCACTACCTGTACGCTGTTTGTAATCCAAATCTAAGACATAATTTCGGTCCTTCTTTACTGTCTTAGCTTCAGTGACAGATTTGACTGGATTCTCTGTAAGTGAATAACCACTTATCGGAAGATTACCAGCAGGACCAACGGAATAATCCACTAATGCATCTATCATTTTTCTTCTAATTGGTTTATTAACCGGTATATGAACTCGCTTGCTTGGAGTAACGAAAATTACCGGCTTCTTTAAAGACGATTCCCATGACTTGTGATAGAGCTCATCCTTCGCTTTCCACAACTTATTATGATTTAAATGCCCCGAGCAATAATCATTAATATCCTTTCGATGAACATCTTGTACTCGATGTAACAAATCTCCGAGACTATTAGGAGCTTTTTTAGTTGTCATTGCCTAATTTTAAAGTCTTGTCCTAATAGCAATGATAAGTTAATCTTATTTGATAATGATAAGCCATAGGCAATATTGTTTGATACTTGCTAAACCTTCAATGCCTCCGGTAAAAATAAATAACACTATTTTTGATAATTAGAAACTTTCTATCCTACGATCGCAGTGGTAAAATAATCTCAGCATACCTGATGATTTTATTATTTACTGGTACAGCGACTGATATTACTGTACTGTACACTGTACAGTACTGTACGAGTGTACCGTACTGTACGTTGTACAGCACTGTATGCAGACAATTTGATATGAGGTTGGCATAGAAACGGATATACAGTATTATTATGCTTGGTATTGAGAGGGACTAAAGTACTCGAAAAAGAGGTTGGTAAGTTCACAAATTATTAGTACTGTACTTTGGTGTACAGTACTATACTGGTATTGTAGTCAGCAAACTGCGGTACCTTTCAAAATAGTGATTGAGGTGTTTAAACCGTGTTTTCTTTTTTTTAATTATTCAATCTGTAGTTTTATAATTTCTGCGTACAAATGTAGACTTTGATTGTACGGTTATTGCACTGTACAGTACATATTTACGGTGACCATAGAGGTGAAAAAAAGTTCTTTTTTACCTCTTTGATGATAACAGAGAAGTAATGCCGAATACTGGTATAAACGCATTTTCGTGCATTTCTAGACTGGTTTTACAGCGGTGTATCTCACCATACTATTAATAAGCCGAGATATTGCGGTTAATGTCATACTTCGGCAGCATATCATTCCTTCATCTGTCATTCTACAGAACTGCATTTGAATGTCAGAGAACATACCCAGTCAAAATTTGGTAGCGGTGTGAACGAGAAGTCACTGAGATACTAATAGAATTATAACAGTTAGATCTTTTTCAACGCTAGAAGTGCATAGATAGTACTGTACACTTTATACCAGTATTATCCTGGTTTTTAGTTTGAAAGAATCTCGAACTAACGAAGTGCCGATTTCGGCGTTTAGCAGCTCTCATCCAGATGCTATGTACAGTGTACTATCGGGTAGAGGTAACACCTATTCTTCCAATTTGGTTGTTCAGTCCGTTTACCACAAGTTTAACCATGGAAGTAGGCCTTTCTTTCTTACCTCCACGCATTTACATGCTCGTACTGTAGTAGTCGTCATCACATCCTGCAATTTTAACATCAAATACAATCATGAATGACAATTTAAATAATCTTCAAATGATACAGACTTCATTCCTATCATCACATCCACTAAGTATGTGTACCCATGCCTATTCGTACACTTTTTCTGTCATGTAAATAAGCATTTAGCAAATGAATAAATCGAAGAAAAAGCGCACCTTGAGTCTACCACTAAAGTGAGGAAAGGATTTATAACGTATTATTTAGCGTATATTAATTTAGGTTTCAAGATTATACCATCGAACATTTAAATTAGTCTGCTGATTTATCTTTGACTGTTTACAAGAAATCAAGTTGTCGGCTAATTTAAAAGAATTTTATGCGATAATAAGCATAATAAATAACCATGACAACTTGATTCAAGTAAATGCAATGTTAATTACGCAATGATGCCTTCTTTGTTTGATAGAGTGTATATGATTATTGAGTAGTAAGACTCCTATTTTGCGAAATACAAGTAAATGTTTTTGACTCGTTATTTAATGATCTATAATCGGTCTAACTTCGATCTTTACTGGTACTGTCCATAAGCGATCTACACCTTTAAGTAGCTCCTTCTGGCGCTTGTGGCGTAGTCGGTGTATTATTTTGAAGTCAATGTAAAAAGCATCACTTTCAGCAAATTTTTGAATGAATTCATTATGGACGATGTATAGCTTCATGCATGACATTGGTTAGTAACCGTATTAGTCATATCACATTGCATACTGTATACACTACCAGACATTATCTAAATTTTTCAATTATGGCAAAGGCTCTCCCTTCGTTCAATACAGTTTCTCCATATAGTAATTATTGGTTAATTATTACGCAATTATTATGGTTAAATTACCTATTTAACTGACCATGTATATTTGCTATTGTAGTAATAATATCGCTGTACAGCACTACACTCTGACCTTCGATACAAACTTTATTGCCTGAATAAGACTGACGACGGTCTATGATTCACTGTATGACGCTTAAAGTGTTTCGATGACGTAGTCAAATTAGCATCTACTGACTAATAGCTACCCGAAGCATATTCCCGACCCATTATTCTTATTCTTTATCGTATAATTTATATAGTCAGTACGATTAATAACAGAGACAGATACAATCACTTAGTAGGTTACAATCACAAGCGAAGGAAAAAATAAAAATTTTATAAGCACCCAGTCTGCTGATCATTTGGTTGCTTCTGTCAAACTTCCTGAGTCAATGTTGTTAGCATACGGATGATTAACTACTGATATTGTCAATGAATATGCGTATTTGAACGATAAATATGTAACTTGAACATGCTAATTTGTCTGATTAATTGATATTAGCGTAAGCAAAAGGAGAGAAATACGACTGTATCAGTTGCAATAACTCAAGTTAAATAAAAAAAATCACGTATAATACCTTATCGGAATCAACATACATTAATTAAACTACTGAACATTGTGATAACAATGAAAGTGGGCTACAGATATTACAGTATAATACTTATTGCAATCAAATGTACAGTATAAAACATTGACAGTTCAAAGTAAGAATGATTATTTAACTGGTGTTTATACTAAGAGCTGTGACTTAAGCGGTGCATCATATTGTGCTCATTTGCTTCAAGTACATAGTGTTAATGAGATACTATTCGTGAATCAGCTTCGAGCAGCTTTGCTTTTAATAAATTGAGTAACATAACAAGAATGGTAGCATTAAGTACGATATATTATTTGAAATAAATTATTTAAATTTCTTTATATTTTCCTTGCTTCCTTGGCTAAATTTAAACTAGAAGCATACACTTATTTTAAATGTATATACGCGTATATTTAAAGCATTGCCTATTTTAAACAATACGCTATATATAGTCTATAACTTTAAGCATCGAACATAGTGATTTTTTACAGAATATTTATAATTCTATATTATTGTATTTTGTTCTCATGAAGTCGTTTTTACTTGAAGGACTGCTAAAAGTTGTCAATACATTCCGTGTAACACAAGTAGATAATGCTAGTAAATTGCTATGAAATGATGCATCGCTCGATGGGACACAGACGAACAATGGTATTGTCTGTACCATTGTGTAGTAAATACTGTGTACATGGGTCAGTTTTATAATTGTTCTTGAAGAATGATTTATTTTAATTGCGTACCGATAACTAACGCCGACAGAACAAATAAGACTTGCGCAATTTCCCAGCTATTGTTCTAATAATGTATTTCAAATTATATGGACGTCAGTTATTAGCACAACGGCGACCATTGGGGGCATGAAAGAAAGGAATACGTAAGTTCCTATACCATCAATCATGAAAAGTGTCTCGGAGAAAATAAATTATACAGTATTGTCAGTGTAAAATATACTGTTGTAAACATAATCGTACCGATCATCATGGCGTTCTTATGCCCGATTAGACTTTCTAAAAGTAAAAAAGGTAAGTTTTGAAATCTATAGGACTCGATTCTATAACTTAGTTAGATGATCTACTATATCAATTCCATAGCTATGATAATCAAGGTAACTATGATAATCGTGATCTTTGACATCTAGCGTGAAATCTGCTTGATAAGAATAAGTTGCCTACCGTTATAGCAATCAATTTATTGTTATCGACATGATTTCACTAGTTGTCAATATTATATATAAAAGAATGGTATGCCTTTTCGATTGATTTACTACAGTACTGATGCTAAAAATCACGGTCTCAATCCTATCTAAATCATATTTAATTACAAATAACTGATTTCAGTTTTCTATACATAACACATGCCTTAAAGCCTACTTAAATAAATTAACATGAAAAAAAGGGAGGAGATGATTTAATTTCGGAGTAATGTAACAGCACTAACATTAAGAATTTCATGATGCCAAATATTATTAACAAAGGAGAACAAGACAAAATTCAGTACTCTATCTATTTTACTTCATAATGATACGGATCTAAGATCCATCCTCTTGAATTTATTGCTGTTTTATGTTAGTGTTTTATTAACGCGGTCAAGTTTATGTGAAAGCAATTTCGCTTACATCAAAATTATCATAACTAATGATTACAATCACTTAATTGTTTAATTTTAGCCTACAAAGAGTGTAAAACTTTTTATAATCTAAGGATTCATCCTTTATATTTGATTATTTAATATTATGCTGACTTAGTTCTAGGTACCAAGAATTTCTCTAGGTTCAAAGATGGTTTAACTGTAGCAAGTTAAATCATGTTGTTACTGCATCAAAACAAGTACATAAAAACGTCTATGCGACTAGTGATAGTGCTACTAATAATGGCTGTTATAATACCCGTTAATAGTTCTACATGTATAGTATGATTCTCCTCAACAAGAAACTTGAACTATTTTCTGTAATTATCGTGATTGCATCTTTGTTTTAAAATGGTCTATTGTTTCTCGGTTTACTTTCCATCAACTATTCATAACTTAAAAGATAAAGTACAAAAAATATTTCAAATCGATCAATTAAGAGTTCTTCTTATCCTAGCTAAGTAGAAACATAATAACAGTATTTATCGCTTGACAAACTAGCAAATGATCGATATACAGCGTACCATATAATTCAAATTTTGGCTCTCACTACCAGCTACAATTTCTTATTAATTGATATTCTAATTCTTATATAATCTGAAACAGTATTTTTGATCAAGAGTACAGCTTTAAGAGTAAATCTTTGCACCTTTTATGAGTCCATTCGAGGCTTACATTAGATTCAATTAGATTATTCAGGGAATGGCACTTACGCATAATATATGAAATTTCTGTAGGGAGAAACCAAAATGCATTTGCCTATATGCCAGCGAGAATTACTGGAAGTTCAAGTCTTGAAAGCCTACTTGCAATTGAAATAAGCCGCAGCGCAGCTAATGATGATAGCAAAGATTTTGCTAGGATGAAAATGGTGATACTACAAGACTTTCAGCCTTGCGTTGAAGACGAGCTAGAAGTTAAGCGAGGAGATATCGTGACACTTCTATATCGTGATAATGATTGGGTATATGTACAAGCTAGTCATGGGGGTGAAGGATTTGTACCCTATTCCTATTGCGCGTTAAAGCAATCTCCTAACATTGAAAAGCCACGAAAAGTACGTAAAATTTTCTGGATATGATATAAGTTAAATAAAATTGAATATTTAAAATTGTTTTTAATTGTTGTATATACAGTAGTTTGTTCGGTCATATCTACTCTAGTTTAAAGTTGAGTAAAATGCTGATTTATAAGTATTTAATCTATTTTAGTTAAATACCGTATCTATTGTTAGATTAACATTCAATATGCGATTACGCTATAAGAGTTAGTTCCATTATGATAGTTTCGATCTTGAAATAACATAGATAATTTTACAAATTGTTCCGCGCTCTTTTGCTATAGTACGGTACCATATTTGCTCATGTGAAGTAACCATGCTAATTTACTACAGTGTGCGCATACGAATCGTTATCAAAAGTCCATTATGCCCCTTGATTAAATCTTTCCAGATCTATCCACCTACGTTACCTCCTCTATTTGTAACTAAAAGATTGTTCCTACGAATAAAATATCACGCAGTCACTTATAGATTATGTTATTCTATGCTTGCAAGGTAACTGATCGTATAGGTAGCTCAAACATCGTCGCTTAGTATGCTGCAGCTAAATCTAACTCCCTTTGACTTTTATAATCCCAAACTATAGAATCAGGTAGTTTAAGTATAAATTTAAATCTAATGTCTCCTCATAGCTACATCAATTAGAGAAAAGTACAGTTTCCTATTGATTATTACTCACACTGTAAAGTATACCCCATACAGCGTATGGTATGCAATATTAAAAAATATTTCGATTTTTACTAACATATTTGTATAATATGTAACGCTGTACATATTCAGTGATCACTGTTAGTTTTATTGAATTATACTAAAAACACCGTTGCATACAGTATATACTAGTAAACGTATTAGAGTAGTTCATTAGGTTTTTATTTACTGAATTTAGTAATTTTTTTATTATTAGACTGACTATCCTGGTAAAAACTGTACATTTAGTATACTTGTCTGATATCGTAACTCAGTATTAATTAACAGGCCATTCGGTCGGTCGATTCTATTTCAATACCATGTGAAAGTATTTGCAACAAATTATTTGTTATAGAAATCTTACTCTCATTGCTCTTATTATAACTTGAACTAAAAAAATATGAAAATTTTTAGAGGAAATTCGTATTACGTAAAAATACAAATAGGATATTATCCAAATAACATCATGATATTAACCTCTCACAACCTGATGCAAAGAAATACAGTCGATGCTACAAAATGCTAGCGTTGCAATTCTTTTAACGAATATTTTAAGATATTTTAATAACCGTAATTATAATTACAGAAACAAGAAATGAAATCATCGTTTGGTCGTACATTTTCCTATTTAAAGTCTATCGATCGAGAATCACAAAATCGCCGTATTCAGCCTAGTGTTCCTGCCAATCAGTTAAATTTCAGATTAAACTTAAATCTACAAAAACCGTCGCCTGATCGTAGTAGACCGAATGTTACTAAGGAAGAAAGCAGTGAAGAATTAGATAAAGGTGTTGTTTTCAGGCCACAAAGTCCCAGGCAAAGATTTACTCACGCACTAAATCGAGCTAGTTACAACAGAATGCAACAATCAGATGTTGGAAACAACGGAATAAGATTGTCCAATCATACTGATGATCAATTCAATCATCAGCCAAATAGTACTTTACCATCAAATTCACAGCCTAATACATCTGCGACTCCTCATATTTATAACCAACAGTCTCAATCTAATTTCAATAACTACCCTATTGCAACAACAGGATCAGGATCAAGTAGTAATAGTAAAATTTCCAATCATTCCTACCAGGAATATGGTGAATCCAGCGATAATCTATCAATCGTTGGTAGTGCTCATCAACAGCAAGAATTACGAAATAAATCTTATAGTCTACCAGATGATGGCATTGTACCAGACATAAATAATAAGAATAATAATTATTATAAAAATTCAAACTCTAACAATGGAAGTCCTAAGTCACAAGGACTGATCCTAGTAACTGCAGATTTTCAAGCCGAAACTGACTGTGATATTTCCATTCAACAAGGAGAGTTGGTTAAGGTTCTTAATATCGATAATGATAACTGGGCTTGGATAGCGAAAGATAATAGGAAAGAAGGATTTGTTCCGTTGTCTAGCTTATCCATTGATGATGGTTAGTATTTAATAGCTGTTTTATAAAGAGAATGTCATTACGAATAGAACTAGTTCACAATACTCGCAGATGACTATCAACATTGATAGCTAATAAGATTAAGGTAAGAGTACGCTTATTCGATAAAAATACAGAAGCGTACTGCATATGATTAGCAAATAATGCTGCATATGCTCGCTATCACTTCCTCTCAGAATGGCTTAGTAAAATATATTCTTATTTTAATCATGCGGACAGGCATTAATACTAGAACTGTATTTATGTGAATGTATTTTTATATAACCACAGATTAATATGAATACATATCAATTGAGAAGTACTTATAAACCGCACTTTCCACCACTATAGACACTTGATTCATGTACTATCGACAAGGATATAAGATATTTGACTTTTGTAGTAGCATTTAACTTTTTGTCGTATTCTACATCTATCTCTAGAAACATTCAAGGCAATTTCGAATCAGGATGATTCGTCTATAAAAACAGATTTTGAAAATGAATCTATGTTCAGTACGGATTCAACAGTTATCAAGCAGCAAGGCACCCGTCTTGTAGTTCTCTTTGATTACCAAGCTAGGACCATCGATGACTTAGACGTTAGAAGAGGCGAAATTGTTTATGCTGAACTTGATGATCAAAATGATGAAAGTTGGATTTGGGCTTATGCACCAACCAGCAATAAGCAGGGCTTTATACCCCGCTCTTTCGCTAGACCACCTGTGACTTCTATTTAAATTCGTTGCCTTTATATTTTAGCGATATCCAATGAGCACGGACAATTGCAATGTATTAGTCGAACTGAACCTCTTTACAGTCCCAAAATTAACTTCATAAATTCTGATCTGTGGACTGCATAAAACTCTAAAAGATCAACCAATTCGATGCATTTGTTTGTATCCATAATGGTAATTGATAATATTATAATGTGTAGGATGAATTTACATTCTTTATAATGGTGAGGAATGCACGTAGCTTTTCGCCATAGCGGTGTACATTCAAGAGTTAGCATGTAATCGCGTGAAAAAGGATCATTTTTAATTTCGATTACAAACAAAGAACTAATTGAAAGCTAATAATAAATTATATTACGGTAAATAGAGCTCTTCAAAATTGGTAGCAAAAATTTGAATTAGCTAAACATAACCTTCAATTCTGAGATCAAATTTGATGAATCCTAGATTCAAAATTAATTTACCGTAGACGATGTGACAGTATACTTGTAGAACTGTAACGATGGTCTATGGAAGCTTAAATATAAAGCTTATAACGCGAGTTACAGGGAATCTGTTTGATCATTTATTTATTTCCTGTCATATTTATAGTACCTTTCATAAGTTTATCTTGTTTATTCTATTTTCTTTTATATTTCTAAATTACGTAACCCTCGTGTCTGTATATATGGTACTTCATATACAGTATCACTATTTTATCAGATATTGACATCTTACATCCCACTGTATTTTATAACATACGATGATAAGAATCTAATCACTTCGTCTATCTCTAAAATAATTTTTATAAATAAACAGTATATGATTATGATTGTCGCCTTCATACGTTACTATTTCGCGTAATTTTTTTAATTTCGGGTAAATTCGGATCAGTTTTAAGGGTCTCGCTACTTAAAATAATTTATCGCAACCTTTATTCTAAGGGTAAGGTACAAAATCAGAGAAAATGGAAAGGTAAACAATTGAAAGGAATTACGTTATCTTCAGGCTAATATTGAACATCCACATCATATTCCTAGTATTGTGTGAAAAAGAATATAATCTCCTAGTTGATTTGTAATTAATTAATCATATATTCATACAACTTTAGATCTTAAGTCAGACTAATAAAATATTACCTGAATCTCCACAATAGATTTTTAAAATTTTTACCATAATTTATTAGGCAGTACCGTAGGACTTTTTGATCAGCAATATACAGTATATTTACATTTAGTTGTTAATAGAATGATGACCTATGCAATTTTACTTATACTAATACCTATACGAGTATTTATGTTATACTGCAATACGGTCTAAAAGCATTCCATGATAACATACCGATAGTATACAGTCTGCCGACATGCAGTAAGTATCATAGTTTAGATTATATGCTCAAAATTTAAGAGAACTACCACGATGGCCTTTCTATAATAATCTATGAATAAAAGGATCGATTACAAATTAATTTAACGATAATCTACAGGATTAAAGTATAGGAAGGGAAACAACTTCTAGTTGCTCTTCAGTAACTGTCAAAAATTTATCTATTTCGGCTGGATCTGAAAGTACATGAGACGGAACCTACGACCGAAGCAGAAAGTAACAAATTAGCGATTTAAATGAAAGCTAGTACTGTAGAGGTACCCATAAATTACTCACGTTACCGTATATTAGTTATATGTAATATATCGTATTTATAGGTGAATTGGATACCTTTACTTGTTGTAAATTGCATTCCTTGGCTAAGAATTCTCGTAGCATATAATTAGTTTCCGCCTATTAATCATAAATAATTAATCAGTATGGTAGATATTTCCAATTCGAAGCTTAAGTCAAGTTATGTATTCGGGCATTTGCACTCTTCCATTTTTATATTTTGCTAAAAATTGCATTTAAGTTATAATTAGATATCATTAACACGACAGCCAAACCTGATGATATAATCTGGTGTCATAGACTCGCGCTAGAACATTATCCACTCGCAAAAAGAAGCGTAATAGGAAAAATACATAGCCTGGCATGACTCGCTAGAAGTTTTGGTGTAGGAAATGACAGTAGTTTCAAATCAAATCAATAAATAGAACAGTAAAGATAAGGCTAATATTGTACTATTCTGAGATTATACCACTTTCGCATTCATCCACGCACAGCCGTTATCTGCTAATTCATCTTCAAATAGCATTATGCTTTTATAATGATAAATTTTCTCTTTGGCTTTTAATTTTTCTATGTCAATTCGCTGAGTCGTAGAGGAAGCCTAAGAATTAATCATAATGCATTAATAGTCTATTCAGGTAGTGAACATCATGAATAAAAAGTTAACGCAACATCCAATCACAATGTGAAAATTATCGATGGGGTCGATCATCAAAGAAAATATCGCAAACCCTAACAATTGCTAAATTGTTTTAGCTACTTAATATACTTAATCGCATAATATAATCAGCCTTTACTTTTATTCCATCACCGAAGAGGGTTCCTTTATACTTTGAAGAGTAAGTCCAATCAAACCTTTTAACGGTTTCATTAACCGGATCTTCACTGGAAACTCTTAATAGAATATATTAAAATTCAAATTATCTTTTTTTTATTGCCATCATCGTTATTACAACTTTCCATAGACAATTTGAAAGCCGTACTACCGGTTACAATAGCTAAAATGACGAAATTTGCTCATAAGAGATTCTCATCATAGCAAGAGAATACTGTAAAACGAACCACTGATTGATTTGCTCACGTCAAATACAGATAAAGTTATCCAAATCCGATAAATAACCTGTTCTTTTGCCATTCTTCAGCGTAAGCAACTTTAATATGTTCCTTCTGATTATTAACTAATTTAAGAGCATCTGTCGGATTAAATTCAATTCCAAAACCGTTTCGATGCTCTAACCTGAGAGAATTATTGGCAAATAGCATTTCCGGAAGAGGAATGTCGATAGCGGCTAATATCCTATCGAAATTACAAACGAGTTACATATAATATATGCTGTACCAATGCCCATACGTATACGTACATATGAAATTAGTAAAAGGTATAAGTACTGTACAGTTGGTATACCCGAAGTATACCGAGCGCGGGGTCGACTAATAAATAAATACTAATGCTAATATCGGGGATTAGAGTTGCTGTGACTAATGCTAAAATGTCATCCAGATTTAAGGTTGATTGGTCTTAAGATTCGAAAATTGTGAATTTGACACTCATAGACTAATACAGTAGAAGAAGACCTAGTAATCTATCATACAATATAACAATTTAATCTTTTCGAGGCAACACCCGCGAGATATGAATGTGGGATAGTTACAAGTACAGTATCATACTGTACAGTACATTACTAAAAATACTAAAATTATGTCTACCTACTGCAGGCATGTAGGCCATGGACTACAAGGTCTTTTTTTTCTAGTGTCCATGCCTACGGTTAGTTGTTACTGTACAACATACGCGTATATTCTTGCTAACAAGCCACAATCTTCTAACTGAAGTTGCTAGCGAGAATTCGTGATGAATAACATAGGATGACGAAGCTCGGTAACAAGTTGAGAGATTATACCTTTACAATTAGTTTGATATTCATTCCTTACGTGCATAATTCACATTTTTTACTTTGATTTTGGCAAATATCAGGTTGACTACATGCCGATTTGAGTATACTTCCTTCTGTTGATATCAATTTCCAGGGACCTAACGTAAACTCATCCTTTCTTACGTTTATCTTTCTTTGCTCCATATACTTACTGTGGAACGCAATAAGAGCTACAGTAAATAAAGAGTGCAGAAAGCTCGCCTGTCAGTTTTATTAATTATAATTAATTATTATTATTACAGTATTTACCATACGATATACTGTAGGATCTAGAGACCCTGTACAGTACAGTACATTTTTGGGGACCTTTAACTATCGTGATTTTGGTGCACCTTAACTTAAAGTACTGTACTGTACTGTACTGTACGTACAGTACTTTGATTCGAACTGGTTCACACTACAGTATACAGTACTGTACTGTACAGTACAGTATTTCCTTAAATTTTGGATCTACAGTACTGTACAGTACTGTACAGTACAGTACAGTACTGTATGTTTTTCTTACCTCTACAGTACAGTATAGCACTGTACAGTACTGTACTCAGTTTAGTACTGTGAACTGTGAAGGTCCTGTACGGTGCTGGCGGCAAAATCGTTTTCTTTCGCAACGCAGACATGCGGAATAGTTTTGCATAAACTTTAAGACTTTGCCACAACAGTGCAGACTGTCAAGCAAGCATAGGAGTACAGTACGAATACAGTAGTGTATTACAGCGCGAACAACGCAACGAAATTTAAAACAGCAGTAATGACGGACCTCACCGATATTACCAATTTATTGTCAAAAACCAAAGTCCAGCAACTAAATGAAGTTGACTTTAGTAACAAGGGCTTGAAACTAAATAACGGCGAAGACGGTAATGTTTCTACAAATTTGCATTTACTGTAAAAGATACATTTAGTTGACATATACTACAGTGCTCAGATACTTTAACAAACAGTTGCAATGAAATGCAACATTACTGGGTATTAACCTTAATGATAGCTTACAACTATATACAACTTTGTGTAAACTGATATTTTATGCTACGATATCTGGAACACCTTCAATTTTAATTACAATTTAGAAGTGTGACCCCAATTTCTTACTAGTTAGCCCCTAAAAATAAGATCAAGGACGAACAAATACTTTTAATTCTTATGACATAAAATGTGAGATTGACTTAATGCTTTAATATTGCTCAATAAAACAAGTGGTATAGGGAACAAAACTGCACTAAGTGTAATTGTTTTAACATGACGATATACCTCTTTTTAAAGACGAAATTGTCCGTGGAACAGCCTCAAAGTTGAAAGTATTTCTACCATGCCACTAACGAGAACCTTCTTAACTTTTCCCTATCGTATGATTACTGATAAATGAAACTGACCAATGACCAAGGCATAGCGCTAGTCTATCTGTTTTATTTACCTATATTATATATTACAGTATAAAGAGATTGTGTGTGCAAATTACAGTACGTATGTCTGATATGAGAGTACATAATGTAAGAATTGGATAAGTAAAGACCACGCGAATATGTATATACGTATATTAGTAAGAGTACAAGTAAGGTACGCGTGTATTTACGAGTGATGATGAGATAATTCGCTGCCCATACTTCACGATAAACGAAATCCCAAATTATTATATTGTGTATTTGAATAATTTTACTAAAATGTTAGGCGTTTTTGCTGATGAGACGCTTTGCGAATTGTCGGATTGCTAAATTAACATAGCTTTTAATTACTTATTCTAACCTTTACTTCTAAAGCCTCTGAAGTTGTTAACGCAATCAAACAATGCAAAGATTTGCAAGCCCTACGCCTTAGCGGAAATACCATCGGTGTCGAAGCTGCTGTGGTGATAGCTGATGCGTTGAAAGATCGCAAGGAACTGGAAGTACTGTTAACACGTATAAACGTTAACACTTTTATCATACGCGTAGCAGCGGCTAGGCTCTTTATATTTAATAGTACACTAGTACATAGCGACGAAACGCAATATGAAGTATCATCTATGATATTGATTTATATGGTGCTTTAAAATATTCTTAATAGAGAGCCTATTGGAGTGATATATTCACCGGTAGATTACGATCTGAAATACCCCTAGCACTGGTGACGTATCATATTGCTTTTACATATTGGTCGTATTTAAAGATAGTTAAACTTTAAAATTCATGTACTAAAGATTTCTTGCAATATTTATCCTATTTTAAACCGTTTAGGAAAGCTTGAGCAAGGCTGTGTTTACTGCTCAGGCCTCATTGGTTGAAATAGACCTAAGTGACAATGCTTTTGGTCCTGATGGGATAAATGCTGTCAAGTCATTGCTTTCTGGCAGACCCGGTTATACCATTAAAACGTTGAAGTTAAATAACAATGGTTTAGGCCCAAATGGTGGCAAGGTAACTAATGTAATTCAGGAATGTTCATTTCTTACATATAAAAATAGCATAAATTGTTGTATCACAATACTTTGTCGTAAACACATTTTAGATTCTAGCGGCTGCCCTGCGTGAATGTTACAAAAACAGCGGTGATAAGTTCTCTTTAAAGACATTCATTTGTGGTCGTAACAGACTGGAAATTGCTGGATCTGAAGCCTTGGCGTCTGCTTTTAAAGTATTACACTCCTAACATAATATAGTACAATGAATCCATATCTATTGAGCCAGAAAGGTACTGTAAAGAAATACAATGACCAAATACTTTTAATATAATTAGATCATCGGAACTCTTGAGGACGTTTCTATGCCTCAAAATGGTATTAAATCGGAGGGCATCGTGCCGCTAGTCTGTGCACTGGCTTGCAATAAATCCCTAAAAGTAAGGAAATACGGTACTTTAATTATTAGTGCACGATATCTGAAACTGTAACAACTTATGAAGAACTAATATTTAGAATAATCAAATTACTCTAGAGATTGAATCTTAATGATAATATATTTAGTCAAGATGGAAGTAAGGCATTGGCTGAAGTAAGTTTATTTTGTAACTGGTTTTGCGAGAAGCACTGTCGCAAGGTGCGTAACTTGAATATCTAATGCATTGTGAAATTGTAATGTTTCTACAAAGGCAATGGCTAATTGGCCATACTTGCAGTATCTAAACGTCGGAGATTGCCTACTAGGAAGCGATGGAGCAATAGCTATTGCTAACGTAATAGAAAAACATAACCCGAATTTACAGGTAACATACCATAATAGCTGCACAAAGGCATTTGACTGTTACTCGAATCATCTTCCGACTTAAAAATTGGCTACGTGCTTGTTGCTACGTATGAGATATGAACACTGATAGTAGTGATTAATGCTCCGAAGAATTAATATGGTTTTACTCACTTTGCTATCGCTAGGAAGTTTTAGTAGATTCCAATGATATAGAAACTGATGCTGCTATCAAGTTAGCGACAGCTTTGAAGAACTGCTCCTCTCTACAGAAGTTAGATATAAATGGTAAATTACTTAGTAACAAGCAATATCACCTTTTGAATTATTTGATCAATTGGTTATAGTAAAAAGTTATTTTTCTTGTAGCTAACTGCTTCGGATCCAAAGGTATAGAAGAACTGAAACATTGTATAGAGGGATCTGTTGTTGCAGATAGTTTATGTTCCCTCAGCGATGATGAAGGATTACTAGATGAAGCAGAAGATGATTCTGATGCAAGTGACGCGGAAGAGGAACCTGGTGATGATACAACCGGAAAGTTAATTGAAGATAGTGAGCTACATGTAACAGGAAAGAGTGTGACACCAGATGCATCACCACGTTCTTTAAATACACACCAGGTTAATTCATAACAGTCTGCAGTACTACTGCAAATTGAAATGATAAAATGATTACATTACGTACTTTATGAACATAGACATACTAGGTTTTTAAAATTAAACACGCTATTGTACTGTGGCACTAGTCTTTATAGTAACTGCTGCTCAATTGGTTGTCATAAAGCAATGTCTTGGCTATATCACCAGTTATCGATATTAGCATGTATAGATGATGTATAGGAACTGTGCAATATTAAATTCTTGGTAAAATTTATCTTGCCGTATTGCTATGATGTAAAGAATGTATTTTATTAGATTCCTTACTGTAATTATCAAAATAAACTATTGGTTTACGAAATAAAAAATTTAGTCTATCCTTACCATTATATTAATCCTAATACGCGTTAACAGTGTCTTCTGGGTATCGATTTACTTAACTTAGTTTATGAATTGAAAACTGAGTGATTTCGTAGTAGTTTATAAATTAGTTTCGTTTGTGAGCTATCTAAGCTCCTATTGATATATAAATTTAAAATCATTTTCTATAAAGAAACAAAGTAGCTAAGAGTCATAATATTCGGATTATAACACCCTTATTAATAGAAATTCTGGCTAAAGAATCTCAATGTAATCAATTTAACTATTTTATTCGTACTTCAACTAAACGTACAGTACCAAGTTTTTAGTTTGGAAATTACACGTCAGTCTAATAATAGAATTTTCGAAATTTTTTGATTAATATTTTATTTACTCTTCTCTTACGCTATAGGACTTCTCTGATTACGAAGAAATAGTACGAAAATTTCTAAATGTAGGGCTTTACATAGTTGAATGATATTGTGCTAACGAAGCTATGAAAATGGGTTTAAACTTTACGTAGAAAAATAACATCACTAATTATGTTTAAGATATCTAGGCCTCTTAGTGCCGCAGATGACCGCTCACAAAAGGAGATATATCGCAATATCGGTAATAAATTAACATCTTACATGCTATGTAAATCATAATCCTGATTTATACTTTTGACGGAAGTAACATTGAGATTCTTAAACGGTTTAGATATGCTGTTGTCATCGATCTGTATTTCATCCACCTTTGAATCTGAAAAGTTTACCACTACTTTGTTGATACACATGGGACTACTAAAGGTTATTAGTACTTAGTGTAACCAAATAGTAATATAAATATAATAAAATTGTTGAGATATTTTACCTATCGTTGCGAATAGTTCATTTTCTTAGATTAGGAAACTTTTCAGTTAATAATTTATTAACACGTTGTTAAAAGATACTAAAAACAGTATTTTATGTCTAGTCCGAAGATAAGAAATTTAGATGCGTGGTAGATGATTTAAATGGGCCAATGATTGCTCTTCGATACGTTGCGAAACAAAGCTACTTTCCTAAGCAAATTATACCTATTTTGAAAGCTTTTATAAATAAGTGAGTATGAAATATGTAGCAAGGTAGTCAAACTGATATAAAATGATCAGTAAAGATGAATATTTTAGTTACTTCATAATTGTACAAAGAAATTTATGAATGTTGCATGTCGTGCTTGGGCAAGATATTTATATCAAATTTAAGCACTTAGGTATTATATATTGTTGAGTACTGCATCTAAAATTTTCCTAGGCCAAATGAAAAGCTGGATAAATGTGGCGAATCTAAGCATCTTCTTATGCAAACTTTATTCCAGGTATAAAAGATAAAGTGAACGAAATAACTTTAAATATTTATACCTGCAGCCTAAATCACCAAAATGTGTTTAGTACGAGTTTTCCTAACATCTCATTAAAATTTTGAACGATTATATGAATTGATCCTACCGTTTCACACTACTACATGTACGATTCACTACACATATTAACAACGTTATATACTGTACTTCTATATTATTTCACTTTTACATTGTATGTGTTAAGTACCTGCGTTCTTGTGAAATTCGTTGTCATTTAATACGAGCAATAAAATGCCTTTAAATATTGAAATGTCAAATACTTTATATGTTACACGATATATATGCTAGATAGTTCTTTAAAGGTTCTTATAAGCGGACGTTAAGGTTATTCTTGCAATCGAATTTGTTGCTTTACTACATACGCGTATATTTACAGTAAATATCAATCCGTTATCATCAGAGTATAGTATTAGTAATTTATCGATGTACAAGTTTTACTTCTGTTCTGATGTTCATTCACACCGTATGAAATCTTTAACCGCGCAATAAGATAAGGATGCCGCGCTAGGCCTCCAGTCAATACACAGATAATTTACTTATTTATTATTAATATCTGTATAAATAGAAACTCTACATACTCGTATCACAGTACCTGCTATCGTTAATGTCACCTGTATTAATCAAATGTCTATTCTACGGTAGTTTACTCATGGTTTACCTGAGAGTGAGTGCTACTTACGACTCATACTCGTATGACGCATCATTTAGTACTATACTAGTAAAATAAAACAATCGCAATTATCCTCTAGATTTTTAACTATTAACTAGAGTAGCATAATATACGCATTTTGCAGGCTACTATTTTCACATTACCGTAATCTACTATGAGGTCTATAGTGCAGATACATATACAGAATAATCTTAGCACTCGGTGTATAAGTCTTAAAATAAATTACTACAGTATGAGAAATGTTTGACTAGCAGGCGATATTCGCATCAAAGCTGTACGATTACAACAAGGAATAAATATATCAAGAATTTATTAGTGAACTGTAATATCCTGTACTGTATAAAAAAAAATCAATGAACAATATTTACCATTAGTTCTAAAATACAGTATAGATTAATTAAAAGGTATAGTTGTAAATACAGTAAATGATGAATAATGATTGGTTCACAGAATTTATAAAATTGCTTGATTGACGGCGAGTCAATGTGATTTAAACTGAGGGAATGAGTGAGCAATGACTCATTCATATTTACCTATCGGTTTGCTCAGCACGCTTCGCCCTACAGATACAGAATACTGTACAGTACTGTACAGTACATAAAGTAGAAGTTGATTTTATTGTAACACCATCATGGCCAAACGGAGAGTTTATATGTTTTCTACGTGCCTTTTGACTACTCCGCTGTGTGATGTCATAACTAATTTGCATATCGGCATCCATACAGTACACCAGACCTCTAGTCGGCCAAGACTGGTCTGGACTACGTACTAGCTCTAAATAAATGTACTGTACAACACTAGTACAAGAATTCAGCAGGTCCTCCCTCCGACTTAACCGTACTGTAGTACTGAATTAATTAATTGAGTAATCAGTGTCAACGCATACAGTACAATGAATGAATGAATAAATAAATCTATGCAGGCTTACGATATACTGTACTGCCTGTATGCGTTGTGACACCAGACTAATTGTCTGACTCCTTTGATACATACTGGCGAGACTTTTCAGAAAAAAATAGCCTACAAGTCTCCCTTTTAATTAAATTCACTTGAAATATTTTCTAACTTAGAACAAAAGCAAATATTCTTGGCTGAAAATAATATCTGAATTCGAATGTAATTTTTTACCAGTTATATACTGCAATTGTTGTTAACATAAAGTAGATAAATACACATAGTATACGTGTATTTATCTAGTTTACTGTACTGTATATCAATCGTGATTTGAAGGCAGCCCTATGTACCTCATTTCTGTACGCCCTAGGCCAGTAGTTCGAACTAAAAAAATTACTACGTAAGTCGGGAACAGGAAGATCAAGTTTAATAATGCAGCATTAAGAATTATTGTATGTATGAGTAACATATGTAAAGCAAAGATTCTTAGTAAGTGTGGTGCAAAAATATGGAATTAGGACGTAGTGATGACTTTAAATTTGCCGGTTAGATTCTTACACTGTACCGTACAGTAGCAATGGACGACTGGGTGCGAGGAATTGAACAGTCTTCACTAAAATTACTGAAGTATAAAATATAGTATCATCATTTGATGATGTCCGAATTCGAAACTAAACTATCGGTAAATATGCATTATGAGTCCAAGACAGGATTTGCTACTAAAGTGATGTACGTGTATACAGGATGAAATGAAACAGCTGTATAGACAGCATCATGATCTAGTAGTCTATGATAGTACGCGTACAATATCATTATTTTTTAGTAGTTTCTGACAATACTTTATCCTTTTTAAGATAAACATTGAAGTGATTTATTACTGTAATGGTTGATCGGATCATCACTGATAATCGTCATTAATACCAAAAGAGTCATGTTCATACATAATCACCATCAAATTATCCTTCAATCAGGAAGGAACTATGACGTTGAAGTTGTTAATAAAGATCGTCAGTCATCGTTTAGGCACCTAATGTTTGATAACTATAATACGTACGATGACCATGTGGTCCGATGTGATGCCGAAGAATACCTATGACATGATTTATAATTAATTTACGCTGTATCATCAATAAAAAGGATAAAACGACATTAATTGCTATGATGAGTTTGTTTATTACTATTGTTTTATAGCTATAAATAAATAACTTTTCATAGGTTAAATAAAGAAAAGATGACTAATAGAAAAGAATAGCTTAGATGTATCATATCAAGCTGAAGTGATGAATCCCTGAACCGTCTCGTTTTGCAAATGGATCGGTTATAACTTGGCGACTTAAACGCTGTAATAGAATTGGTTACTGGTTATATAATTACAGTCTACCACCAGAATTGTTATAAATACTACTACTCAAGTTCCTGTTTGAGTTTTGTGCATCAGTGCGTAAGTACAGTATGTAATTTCGTTGTTTTGGTTTCATTTGTTAGTATATAATTAAATTAACTCTGATTTCTATTGATCGACTATGACTAGCTACATTCATAGTATTAAAGTTTTAAAGTTTTATAACTGATGGTTGCCAGTATGATAAGTTTTACTGTTGATTGATCTAAAGACTATCATAGTATGAAACATGATCATGTACCACATTCTTGTTTCTGTACTGAATCATTTGGTACGAACTGTATACTCAGTGTATAGTACATCTTTTACGTAGCTCTTGTCGTGCAGATCATAAATAATTCAACATCATATTTACAGTACAGTATTATACAGTACTATAAATCGAAAAACAGTAAATTAAGTTTTGTATTTAAAGTTGTACTACGTTTACATTTTAAAACGAGCATCATTCGATGGACTATGGCGATTCAACATTTTATTCTAGTCTGTGGTCTTATGTCATGTAACTAATATTATACTATACAGTATGTAACGGTTAGATCAAGCACTCTGATTTTTGAAACAATATCACCCAATTTGAATATAATATATACCGGCAAGTTCGCAATGCTGTCCGGTGTAGAACTCCGCTTTTAAGAATATGTTCTTATCTTATAAGACGGCAAGGTACTAATATAGAGCCATGGTAGAACATTACATGGCTTTATTAAGAATGGGATTAATTTACAATCGTGCTGTCAACACCAAATCAGTATAAGACTGGGGAGTTCTAATCAATAATTACCGTAAATTAGCTGTAGTAGGAAATAAATTAATTAATATACCTGTATATTTACTACTCTATTTGAAATTTATCACTATATTGGACTTTCACTTACAGTTAATAACGATTGCCATTAATCTGTAATTAAAATTTAATAATTTACTCATGATAATTCAGATCCTGCCATTGCATTCGTGAGTCGCGTTAGTCACGACTGTAAAAGTACAGTACTGTACAGTATCAGACAGTGGGCAGTTCCTACAGTACTGTACTGTACTATTGATATTTTTATTTCAAACCCGAGATCTTTCATTCTTTTCCTCTCTTCGATCATAGTGTAACATACAGTACTGTATGTACAGTGTACAGTACACTACAGTACTGTACCGTCCTGTGACCGTCATGATCATACGACTGTAGTTTGTGTAACTCTTTATGCTGTATTGTACTGTACGGTAGCCGAGATTGTTGAGTGTGACAATCGGTAGACTGACCGTGATACTGTACTGCCATGTACTGTACTGTACAGTAACATACTGTACTGTACTGAACTAGCTACAGTACAGTACAGTACAGTGCTGTACTGTACGCTATGTAATGTACTGTACTGTACGTACATTGTACAGGTTGTGAGTCAACTTGTGACCATACTGACCATACCAAAGAAAATGATACCATACCACTATACCAGTTATCATATTGACAGTACTTAGTTCTGAGACAGTAAATTACTACAATAGTAATTTTCTTTTATTTTTAGAAAGGCTAAAAAGGCAAATGTTAAAAACAAGTTTTATTGTTATGTTGCGACTTTTTCGTTAATATTTAAAAGTTTGCCATGCTATTTATCCTTATAACCTCGAAGTTACGGTACATAGTTTGAATTGGCAACGTATTTTTCAATCATCTGGTAAGAAAGTTCTCGTTTTAATATAACTCAAATCAATGATCGTACAGTATTAAAATGATTCTGGATTGATTTTGCGTTTTTACTTTGCTCTTCGAGGCGTATATTGTACAAGAGCTATATTCTGAATCTTTAGAGCGAAAGTTATTTAATATGCTGTCATGCAGTATTGCAATTCATGATTTATTCTAGGTAACTTCGTTGGCTAAATTTACGCTACAGTAACTTATAATTATATGCAATATTAAAGCATTAATCTAAGCGTAATTTGTTGTATTTCTGTTCTTTGTACTGAGCAGTGCAGTAATGACTTCAGTACGTCAAGCGTATAAAGGTACACGATATAACTGATCATTTATCATCTAGTACAATATGTTAATTAGCTAATACTATAAACCGTCGCCGTAAGTTATTATTTATCTACATAATAAACTCATTAACTAGCTATCAACCACCGTCCTTAACTTGAGGGTACGGCATAATTTCAGTGATATACTTGCTGTCGATTGCTGTATAAATATGATTTATCAGCTATCAACCGGTGCCGTAGCCAATCATTTGAAAAGTAATAGTGGGGATTACTAATTTTATTGTTTTCTTAATATTTTCAGTTAATTCTCAACGTCCATACGCTACAGTACGAAACGCACCTTAAACCTAGAAACAGGACGGCCATTAACCATTAAAGGTAAAGTAAATTAGGCATAAATTGACGACACAGAAAAATCATATACTGTACTGTACGTATTACGTTTTTTGCAGTTACTGTACTGTACATTGTACAGTATACAGTACAGTATAATGTTTCTAAAACACAGTAATCAAATTTATCTTTATTTGCTGATCGCTTACCTACAGTAATTCTTAGATTTCTTATCTTTCGAAGCGGCTGTACTGTACACTACACAGCAGTACTGTACAGTACTACAGTACATACTGTACACCGCTTATACTGTAGTACAGTAGTGTACACTGTACAGTACTGCACTGTAGTACTGTACGTACAGTACACTGTGTCAGTACTCAGTAAGTTGTAATAACACTTACTGCAGTAGGGTAAAATGGGTGGTACCGAATGCAGTACTGTACAGTAGCTTGACAGTAGTAAACACAACTGTAAATGCAAAATAAACAGGAATGCTTCTGCATTGATTCATTAATAACGTATAAACGTCGATATTTACAATTCTCAGTCTATACAGTGCTGTAAAACATACTTAACTTCAGATTCTTTTTTACTATTCTAAAGAAGAAGAGAGACTTTCGTAAGTAAAGTACCCTCCCCCGATCGTGATCTTCGCATAATACCTTTTTACGGAGTACAGTATATGCACAATTGCACATGTTATTACTGTAATGACCAAAGTAACTCTTTTTGCCAGTAAGCATTAACTGAGAATTCCTTTAAGTGATCGAGATCGAAGCATTGAAAACTGCTTAAAATACAGGATTCACAAAATACAGTACATATATTTTGGCATTAAGTAAGTACAGTAAATCGTTCTGATGGTCTACCAGACTCAAAAGACAAACGAACGCACAGTAAGATCTTCAAGATCTGGTCTGCAGAATGGAATTTTGACCTCTAACTGTACAGTACACTGTACTGTACTGTACAGTATACAGTATTGTACTGTGTACTGTGTAGTGTAAACTGCTAATAAAAGGTTTTCTTTTAGTAGTCCATGGTACAGTACTGCACAATTTTTTCCAGTGTGAAGTTAACTTTTTGTGATGATAAATACAGTACACTACGTGAGTACGTACTGAGTACTGTACGCGCGTGAAAATAAATTTATACTTACTGTACTTTTTGAGGGATAATCTTTTTAAAAGTCTCCAACACCAGTACTACAGTACAGTACACTGTACTGTACACAGTGTACAGCACCTACTAAGAGCTGCAAAAGGGCGCAATTTTGTTGGCATATTTTACAGTTCGCGTTGTACTGTACTGTACTGTATAGTACCATAAAACTTTTACAACTAAAAATAAGTAAGTGTCAGTATTACGTACAGTACGCTCGTCCAGGGAGTCAGGCAAGGACTACGCTACTCGAAAAAAGAGCTTAAAAAACTAAGACTTTTTCCAGCGGTGCTTGCTACGATTCACATTCGATACTGTATATATATCTCTGTGGGACTACTGTTGTGTTTTAAAAGAGATTTCATTTTACTATAATAATTATTTAAATTTCGTTACTAATGAAGGATCTACATAGATCCTAATGAAGTTTTCTGGCGATAGACGATCGTTGAAAATATGACAGTATAAAGTAAGTTTTCATACGCATACTTGTTTTGTCTACAGTAAATAATTATATAATTATAAGCGGATTCACTATAAGCCAAAAATCTTTCTTTAAGCCACTTCAACCCAGAAGCGAAACATTTCTGTAGGCCTTTTGACATTGAACACACTTTCTATCATACCATACAATATGGAATTCCTTTCCTATATCGTATAGTATACTTTATAAACGTGCAGAAAAAATCGACAGAAATTTAACGAAACTGTTTCAGCGATTGACAACGCACTTCTGTTCGTTTTCAGTTCGCACTTTTTTACATTAACCGTTACAGTTTTTGCGGATCAATTAATTAAACCTCAGCATAACTAACTTTAAGTTGAAGTTTGCAATGAGCAATTCATTATTAGTTTTTTCTCATCTGCGTAAATTGGCCATTAAAATTTTAATTTTAATTTTAATTTATCCATACCATGTAGTTCGTACTGTATTGTTGTATACTATACTGTACAGTATAGTACTGTATACAATATACGCGTATATATACTGTACTTGCAAACCGGTTTACGTAAGTATAGCGGCATGTTGTGTGGTGCATATACTATAGTATCCGTAAACCAGGTTGTCAGTTCAGTTTCACTTATTTCTTAAATTTATGAGCATTATTTCTTGGCCTGCCATGCAGTAATTTCGATGATCGCAAAATCAAACTATGAATATCACGTTTCTTTGTATAATGTATAATCGAATCTATTTATTGTGCTAAAAGAATTTTTTTACTATTTACAGAAATCTAGCAGAGTTCGTCATACTCTGGAATCTAGGAATATTTGGAAAGGAAACACTGCTTAACTTAATCTAAAGACTTAAAGCCCTGACAATCTAAAAGTTATCAAATATCTACTAGTACTGCTGTATTAAGATATTGTACACATCAAAATCTCAACGGCGACTACACTGATAGTTTGATGACATCATCACAAATGGCTTCGCTATTTTCTTTCACTTCTCCAGCAGTTAAACGCTTGTTAGGCTGGAGACAAGGTGATGAAGAGGAAAAATGGGCAGAAAAAGCTATTGATTCCCTTGTTAAAAAGTTAAAAAGGAAGAAAGGGGCTCTCGAAGAATTAGAGAAAGCCTTATCTTGTCCAGGTCAACCAACGAATTGCGTTACTATTCCAAGAAGTTTAGACGGACGACTGCAAGTTTCACATCGTAAAGGCCTACCGCATGTTATTTACTGTCGTGTATGGCGCTGGCCCGATCTTCAAAGTCATCACGAATTAAAGCCGTTGCCAATGTGCGAGTATGCATTCCATTACAAACTGAAAGATGTTTGCGTTAATCCTTATCATTATCAGAGGGTGGAAACACCTGGTAAGTTGTTGAAACAATAAGTAAAATACTGTCTTATGACTTAATTGATTTTACACTATCGAAATTATCTTTAATTTTCATGATAAGTGTTACCTCCTGTTATGGTTCCTCGCGATCCTGAAATGTGTAGACCACCGAATATCCCCAATCTGGCGACTTCCAAGGAAACTTCTATGCCGTATAATGTAACCTATGATCCTGATCTTTTTGCTACTTACGAAAATCAACGTTACAATGGTCAAGGGAATCAAGGTATGGGTGAAAAGTATATATATATATTGTACTGCATTGTATATACATATCAACAAATCGTTATTGTTCATTCGTTTTTAAGTCCTTATCATTTTAAAGTTGACTGATGCGTTTAATTAGCTGCAGTACAAGAAGTACCTCCGCCTAGTTATGGTATTAATGATCGAAACGGATTAGGTAGTCCCCCACAGGAGAATTGTAGCACTCCTAATACTGCTAATGGTACTCCCCCTGGTCATACTATGACAGCTCCTCAAACCAGCCCCCCAGGGCAAATGTATCAACAAGGTACATAAAGACATACTAGATCAAACCATTAGTGTTTGCATAAGACATTTGTTCTGCTAAATATTAATTTGCCTATTGTGAATAAACAGATATAATGATTGTGATTGAAAGGTTCCTTCAGTTTCAATACTAAGTATTGCTCTGCTCAATTTTGTTGCTTTCATAACAGAATTACAACCAGTTACCTATCAAGAACCTAACTGTTGGTGTACCGTGGCTTATTACGAGCTTAATAACCGTGTTGGTGAACCGTTTCATGCTTCCCAAGCCAGTTTAATTATAGACGGTTTTACAGATCCATCGACCAATGCCGACCGATTTTGTTTAGGTTTACTTTCCAATGTCAATAGAAACTCTACTATCGAAAACACTCGTCGTCACATCGGTAAAGGCGTTCACCTTTACTACGTTGGTGGGGAAGTATACGCAGAATGCTTAAGTGAGAGCAGCATTTTCGTTCAAAGTCGTAATTGCAATTATCATCACAATTTTCATCCTACGACCGTATGTAAGATACCTTCCAGTTGCAGTCTAAAAATTTTTGATAACCAAGATTTTGCAGCTCTTCTCTCGGAATCTGTTAGTAAGGGTTTTGAAGCTGTCTATCAATTAACGAAAATGTGCACTATTCGAATTAGCTTTGTAAAAGGCTGGGGTGCGGAATATCACAGGCAGGATGTAACAAGCACACCTTGCTGGATTGAAATTCATTTACATGGTCCACTTCAGTGGTTAGATAGAGTTCTAATACAGATGGGATCTCCTCGCGATCCGGCAGGATCAGTTTCGTAATTGTATATAATTTCTCATTTATGAAAGCCAGTTATCTCATGTTGTAAAGGGGAATACCTTCCGATTGAGATCAATGATTCGGATTTGATTTTTCTCTATTAATATAGTAATGATATTATAACAATCCGTATTTGTGGTAGCTATTCATTCGCTAATATAATGTGCGATTTTGCTTTAAATTATGGTTATTACGTTACTAAATTGTTACCGAATGTGTATGGTGTCAACTTCAGATTAATCAACATGGTCAGCTGTTTAAAACTATTTTAAGTAATCCTAAATATTCTTAGATCTCACATTGTAATTGTGCATCGCGTTGCATATTTATCGTTCGCAGTATCAGACTGTAATTATGATCTCAATTCTGAACTCAGCGGAGATTTTCTTGCTGCAATTGTACCAAAGACGTGTACACTACATAGACTGGCTATAGTATTATCACGCCTGTGAGTCATCGCTTGATGATACTGTTTGTCAATCTATTGGCTTAGTAAACTAACATCAATGTTTAGTTATTATGTGCCTATTCAGTCTAAACTATACTACAGTACGACATTGTAACAAATACATAATTATTACAGCGGTGTACAGGAGTAGGAAAAATTTTTTGATACTTTATTATTTTGCAATAAATTTAAAGAAATATGAAACTCAAAGTCGATTTTTTTGAGTAAAGATCTTATAATTGTTTAATTAAGAAATTCAGATGACACGGACCTCGAATTTAAATCGATCACTGTTGAGCCTTAAGTTTATATATAAGTAATAAAATCGAGAAACAGTAACTTTTTAACTTAAATTACTTGTGTTTTGTTTTATCAATTTTCCATAAACCGAATAAGTAATTTAAACGAATAATTATCAGATCGCGTCCCATTTGAGCCCAGCTAAGAAACGGTGTCATTTTCGAACCTTATTCAATCAGGTGAAAAATATCCTCAATTAAGATAACAAAAAGCAATTGACGGTCGAATATTAGAGCATTATGTCATAACTAAATATACCTTCAATTTCAGTCCAGTTAACTCCAACTTCTGCAATGGGCATTCGCAACGTCTCGGCAATATAAAGTAGTTCAACGTCAAAAGCCCTATAATGGGTCGAAAGTTAACCAATATTGAATGAGTAAATCAGGAGTCACGACAGCATATGTGATAGTATTGCACTCACCATCCATTTACGTGCATACTATGAAAAAGGATATCAGCTGCAACTCGATTAAAAAGTTTAAAGCCACACTAAAGCGAAAAAAGTAATAAGAGTAATATAAAAATATGCATTAGATTTAAGTAAAATATGAAATATAAAAATATATTTATCGTACTTGAGTGTCTTTTACGCCTTTAACGCAAAGAAATCGAACCAGAAGATGAAACCCGTGCATTAGGAAAGTTCTAAATATTGTTCGCTATTGCAGTTGAAAGAAAATTTAATTGGGTATCTTAAGTCATGATACAAAACCAAAAAGAACTGTACGCTACAATCCAATTTTGAAGATCACTTATACAAGGTTTCCGGAGAAAAAATTTTATACACTAAGCGCACAGCGAAACGAGTACGATAAACTGTGAAATTATTCGAAAGCGAATGGGTAAAGTTCTAAAGTATCATTATCCCAGTTCCCAGAACTATAATTGTACCTCTGCCATAGACTCCTCTTCGAGATGTGCCCTAGATCCGGCTACAACAATTGGACAATCCTGTTAATCATTAAAGGGCAGTTTTAGTTTAAGTAGTTAGTAATCACTTAATATGAAACCATGAGCAACTATAATAATTTAATACTCTTCAAAAGTGTATGGAATATTTTAAAAATATCTATAATGTACTGTATGCAGTACTTTCGAATAATCTTTGTTCAGTTTCATGGCAGCATGTTCTAATTTTTCTATGTCTTCAAATTTGGTTGCACCATCGGCATCTACCATTAAAATATATCTACCTCGTGAACTCAAAGCACCCTAAAGAATTTGACAATGGCAATCAGTATCAATAAGTGGCCAAAAATTGATATCTGAGAGGATCAATTATATTATGGCGATGGTTATATTTCACAGCACAAAAGTGAAATAATTAATTAATGCCTGAATATGAACGTCTTACTTCCCCTCCGTATTAAGGATTGACCGAAGAAATTTTATGCTACCCGGTTATATCTTATTGATAAGATATAATATCTAAATAGTCTTTTCAACATTTCTGTTAATATTGACGTTGTACGATCGAATATCGAATAGGTAAGGTAAGGTAACTCCTTATCTACCAACGCTACTGTTGGATCATATATATCATTATGATTTGTTCTTTGATTTACATCTAATTCGTATATAAAATTATCATCTTGTAGAATGTTTAAAGTCCCAAGATATGATTTTAAGCCTCTTTAAAAGTTATCATCAGCTTAAATCAGGAATATTGTTGATATAACTGTAGAATACGATTTATACGGATGTAGATTGAACGTTAAGCCAGGTAAGTCTGATCGACATAAATTTTTGATATTGTAGAATCAAAAATCATTTGTTCATATAATCTCAATTTAACAGCACTAATAGTAGATTTCTTTTAAAGAATTTAATCGATTACTATTAGTCGAAAATATGATTTGGATTACTTACAATTCTAATGGCTCCCCCTTTTCCACGATTATAATCTAATGTAAGAACTCGAATACTATCAGTACCGCTTCCTTTTACGTATTCAAGTGCGACCTGTAGTGGTAAAAGATATAACTTAATAACAAAACAAGCATGGCAAATTTAAAATCAAATCTATAGCAATCAAATATAATATTCAATGCCAAGGTACGGCAGTGAGCTGCTGCATCAGGATCTAGGTTTGCTAGCATTATAAAATAGAACTTATCACAATAAAGCAGATATGTTAAGCAATGTACCTGAGTCGTGCGATCTTTACTTCCATCATCAACGACAATGATTTCGTATGAAAACGATCGATTTTTTTGCTAAAATAAACAGTATCGTACAACCATACTTAGTTGCAAGTGTTATATCATCCATAGTTACTCGGACAAGAGCTGTTATCAACAAATTTCTGCAGCAATATGAGTACCTTTCTCTTCCTAAAATATTCTATAGTTTCATCCAGCATAACAGGAACTGCAGTACAGGAAGTTCATTAGATTCTCTTTTTAGTAATCAGATAAACTTCAATAGCTCAGACAAACTATGATACTATTACTCATAACTAGCAAGATGTCGTGATTGTTGATAAATGGAAATTTTTAAACACTTGATAATGTAGTTAAAGCCTTTATAAAATTTAACAGTAAATACAAATTATTATTGAAGCGAATCAGTTTACTACTTAATTAATAGCGATTACTGTGTAGCGAGTATCAGGGATTAAACCATTGCTAATAACTAACGTCGCTTTTCTTCATTATAAGATGGAACAACAATTGTAACATCTACAGATGCGGGATCACTTATTGTAGGAAATCTATGCCTCGTGTCTGTGTTTGGATCGTAGAAATAGTTTTCATTTTCAGTTCTGGTGAGGTTAGGAGCCCGATTAGTTGACATCAAGAGGAAAATATAGACCTAAAGTTTAAATAAATTACCGTTAAAAATGTATCAAATAGTATTCAACTCGTAGCGGTGTTAGAAGTTGATTTTGTTACAAAATACAGTAGCACTTCAACATCAAAACATAATTTTATTGGAAAAGTAGCCACCCAGCGCTATTTTTCAATGCAAATCAATCGGTTACTAATTATATTGTTCCATAAAAATGCATGCTAGACTTAAGGATTTGCAAAAACTGATCCGTAAGATACATACGAGTATATGTATTCTCCTCCAAGTAATTTGGTAATGATTATTTTGCTATTACTTAATCACTATGCTTTTCAGCTAACAAATACTCATATTTCATAAGCTTTTGCTGCCAGATAGGAAACTGTCACTATTACTATCACGGATATTTAAAAGTAGTTGACGTTGATAACGGAATTAAAGCATACATACCGTTTGTCCTGTATTTCAAGGAGCACAAATAAGATAGTGTATGTTGACAATACCGTAGTCACAACGTTGCACTTAGATACTAAACGTACTACGAGGTATCAACCAATTTACCTTCAAATACGCGTATTTGTAAATCAGAGTCATAATATGAACACTTTGAAGAACATGCTCGCGTACAATTTGTCCTGTATTTCAAGGAGCCAAATAAGATAGTGTATGTTGACTATAATGACAACGCTGCAATTAGAAGTCGATCGCACTACGAGGTATCAACCAATTTACCTTCAAAATATTTGTAAATCAGAGTTATCATGTGAACACTTTAAAGAGTATATCCGTAAAGCATTTACAACTCATTTCTGGCCTCCATAAATTACAGGCTGTTTCTTTTGTTTGTACGCTTAAATCATTCGTATACAAGTATATTATAAGACTTAAAATTGTATTCGACTGTAAATGAATAATCTTTGACTAAACCAAATATACGCGTACAGTCATAGCCATAGTACACTAAGAATTCATCAAAATTAATGGAACTTACGCGTATTACTACTTTTGCTGTCGCAGTACCGCTTACTAATTGAACATTTACATTGAAATTTTTAATTAAATACATATAAACTTACCATAACAAATGAGGAAATTATTAAGGAAATTACTATTCCTAGTAATAGATTCCATGGTAAATCTACCAATGAAATTATTGTCATTTCTTATGAAATTTATCGCAGCAGTGGCAAGTACAGTAGATGGAAAACGATCCCGTAACTTGCACAGCACAGGATTCTGTGCAGTACAGTATACTACAGTACAATGCAGTAAATTGCAATGTATGTACACTTGTACAATCTACGCAGCTGTACAGTACAGTATGCCTTTTATAGACAGCACAGTACAGTACCGTACAATTCGATTCAAAGTTCTAGCTTCTAACACTGTTACTGGAACAAGTTCACCGTGTGAGCGTACTGTACCTTAAACGAATCTTTAAACCTTATTACAAGAAAAGTGAAAAGTTTAAAATGATTGATGAAAGTGAATACGGTCTATTGCAGTGCCACAACAAAGGCTGCGGTAAAAAATATCGCGAATCAGATAATTCAGATGGTGAGCTTTATTTTCACACATTGTTTAAGTCTACATAATACCCTATTTGCAAAGTTGTAGTTACAAGTTCATGCAGGCATGAACCCCTAATAAAAGAAGTTTATTCCACCTCCACAGACATCATTAGTTCACGGTTACAAAAGAACGGGCTCAACCAAACAGCACAGTATTATCGATACTAGATTTCGCAGCTATTACTGTACAATTGCTGTGAGCAATAAATTACTGTAGCCCGCGAGTTATTATTTTATATGATAGTATAGGCGTGCACTTATTCCCAAGTACTGTATGTTAAGTTAAGAACTTAATCGACACGAAAACACCAGAAACATACAGTACCTGAACATAAAGTACCGTAAAGCTACAGTCGCAGCAAGTACTTCAATTACTTCTGTAGCAAACTAGCAGGCTGTTTTCATTATACAAAATCAATTAATGTAACTATTTTTAAATGTTTTAGACGCTTGTATATTCCACCCTGGCAAGCCTGTCTTTCACGATGCGTATAAGGTTTTGAGAATGCGAAGTAATTTTTATTGCTTATAATTAATCAACTCTCAGAAATTTCATAATTATCGATTTCCCTTCTCCAGAGCTGGTCTTGCTGTAAACAACGCTCTACCGATTTTACGGTCTTTCTGAACTATCCGGTAGGCAGACTACAGTATACTGGTAGCCGTAGTTAATATAGAACATTTAAAATATTTCTATAAAACTTTCACCATCATTTCCTTGCTAATGCCTGTACAACTGTTGACGGATCAAGTACTCTTTCGTAGCAATGATAATACAGTACTGGTATACTGTACTGCACATCGTACAATCTCATAGCCTATTTTATTTATACTTGCTTCCAAGGGTTGTACAAGATCTCACCATTGTAATATAAAACCACAAGCGGAAAAATTAGAAGTAACCACTAAATTACAACCAGGGGAGGTACTAACAATAATTAATCGATCTTGAATTGCATCAGTTGTTATTCAATAATATAGTACCTACAGTGTCTTCCTTAAGTCCCTTCGGTCGAAACTAAACGTTAAATGCTTCAGATATTGATTGATATTACATGCTTGTTTGGAAGGTAATAGAAGTTAACAATCAACCCAAAAAGATCCAAGAAAGACCCAGGTTCACACTGCACGCCAATATGATCTTATTTGTCGAATATCAACGTAACTCTCATACAGTGCACATGCACATGTGAAAGTGCATATTCGTGATATGATTGGTTTTAAATATAGACAAGATGAACCAACTATGCAACTCAAGGCTATTGTCGCGCCCTCTCTCAAATCGGCTTTGGACAAGAAACAAACTGTCTCTGAAAAAGGTAACCTTTCATGGACTCATATCAAAGTGTGATGCAAAAATTTAGAGATATTGAAACATTTTTATCATAGTATATATAATACGGATAAAATAAAATAATTAATGTTGCAGAAGCTGACCCTAGTGCTGATAAAATTTCGGAAGGGACTCCGTGTCAAAATCGTGGCTGTAAATGTGTAAGGAAGCTGCTTAAACCATTATATATTTCCGTATGGAGATAATTAGATGAAGAGATGTACGTGTATAAACCTTATTTGACTAGTCATTTAGCACTCAAAAGGATATACAGAAAGAATGTGTTCATCATCCAGGCTACCCGATTTTTCATGAAGGGTATATGCTTTTGTACCGGAATAAGTAAACGTTTTTCATAGAATAGCTATGCTAACAAGATATCGCTTTGTTTCAACTAGGATGAAATATTGGTCTTGTTGCAATAAGAAAACGAGCGATTTTACAGAATTCTTAAATCAAAAGGGTTGCGCAACGGGACAACACTGTTGGAAACACGATAAAGTATTGTATTTAAAATTTATACGGAATCCGTTGACATCAGTAAATTTCAATAATAACGTTTTTTTCACAATGACACCCACGAAAATTAAATTCCGCATAACAGCAGACGCAATCTGAGTGTAGGTAAGTCAATCATTTAAGTATTGTGATAATAATTTATAAGCGAAGAAATACGTATGCTTCCAGTTGATAACCTGTGTATTACGATTTAACTTACATTTATTTTTAATCTAATATACTCGCATATGCGTATACCAACTTGATAAAGGTACGACTGGTATCAAACTGGTTCGAATGTATATATTACAATATACGCTAAGCTTGTTAATCCTGAAAGATCACTGATAGAAGCCAATCACACTATTGTATGATGTTTTTCATTTGTATGCATACTGAATACTTACATTAATATAACGAAATTATAACACAGTTTATACGAGTACTCATTGGTTGCACTATTGTGCAAACTATTTGAACTTTTTATATCCGATTTAGGTTAAAGCTTTCCTGATTTACGGAGACGACGAAAAACAATACAACAAATCTATAACCCTCGAAGGGGTTAGTACTTAGTACATTAGGCAAAGTTATGCTTATCTTCTTATTCATTATACAAAATTAAGCTGTTCTTCAACATATGCTGTAAATATTTCAATATCTGTCCTTTATCTTGTAGGTTATCTTACCGGAAAAGAGTTTAGTACAATACCTTGGTACGAAAATCGAAATAAAACTTAAAAAATTTGACACGAATAGTTGGAATAAACTAGAATTGTAACCTCTTAGATAATTGTCAAATTATTTTATTCTTATCCATTGAAATGTGATCGAATTAACGATGACGATTTAATAAAGTTTGTTGAAGTAGTTCGCCAAAGCAATCAAATTCATTATATCGGACGATTTCAGTAGGCATAGCTGATCGAATGTTGATATTTCAAATTATGAGATGATCTAATCTTTATTTTTTACGCTGCTATTAAAAACGCACTAAATAGCAGTTGATATGGATATTTATTAAAGTGAAATGAACTATTTTAACAAATATTAAGTTACGGGTAGTACAGTACTAGGTTTCGTTTAATAATGTTTAGAAATTTTTCTTAGCCGGTTTCTTATATATCGTCCATAGAATGCTGGCACAATTAGGTGAAGGAGCGATTAAAATAAAGTATTTGTTAAAATACTAGCAGAGTGAAACATCTCTTAGTATAACATTAAATAGGGCGACGAGCGAATTGTCTCCTTTACTGTTAAAACCCTAACAAATAGTAACAATACTATACATTTCTATGAAATATATACCTAGTCATACTAGCTTTAACCATCAAAATGCAGGACAAATATTTAACATTAATTTTCTCCTTACCAGATTTATGGATTTAGACAGTAAATTAAGCATGACGAAACCTTTAACAGTAAATAGTCACAAATAAATTTCGCACTGGTTGAGATTTAATATTGAATTCGGTATGGTACAGGCATAACAGTCTTTAGTGAATGTAAAGATCGACTGGTTATAATTACAAAATTGTTTTATTGTTGTTCGTCATTCCCTTCCTCTTCTTCTTCTGGTCTTGGAGATGCTTCCGGATCATCATCTTCATTGATAACATCGGCTCTAATGTCATCAGTTTCTTCATTTTCTTCATTTATTCTTTCATTAGTGCCATCTTCTTCAATGGTTGGCTGATCTGTTGTTACTTCAAGTTGTACAGTAGGCAAATCTGTTTGTGTTTGTGATGAGGCTGCCATAGCAGCTGCGACTGCTGCTGCTACAGCCTCTTCTTCTTCAGTTTTCTTAAATTGTTCAGCCCTTTTTGTTGTCACATCACGTATCAAAGCTAGTTTTTATGGAAATATGATTATATTATTAGTAATATAACTTCGTCTCGCTGTATCCAATAGAAACTAAAGCTTTACCATTAAGGATTCGTCTTGCAATGACTGCTTGGGACAGATTATTATCAACGCAACTCATAAGATGAGGGATAAATGATGATTCAACCGCTGCAGTGTAACAGACATAAATAAGTTAATTAAAACATTTTGCATTACACTCTATTTTACGAAAAATCGATTTTATATTAAGACTAACATCTTTCAATGAGATCAAAGAAGTAACCGTTATCCCGAAGAGTCCCAAAAACTGATGGTGCCAAATCGGCAATATAGCTCTAGATAATAAATCGTGAATACTTTCAATTTACTAAAGTCTGTAACATCTTTCTTTATACATGTAGTATAAAAAGTGAAAGTACTACCTGTGCAAATGCTCTGGCAGCAAGTTTTTCTGAAGTTTCTTGCTCTTTTTCCAGGACGTCTCTTTGTTGCTTAATTCGCCTCTGTTTTTCCTCTCTATGGCGCCGCTCTTGCTCTTCCAGTCTTTGAGTTTCAACCAATTCAGCATTACGAAGTTCTTCAAACTTACGCTATAATAATAAGAAATGTGAACTATAGCGTAAACTTTAATCTCATGAAAAATAGCAAAAGACCATTCTGTAGCAACCTGCTGTGTACGTAAATTTGCCAATTCTTCCTCCTCCATCACTTCCAGTAGTGCCTGTTCGACAGTTTTGCCAACCAAAACTTCTAGTATTGGTTTAACTTCTATATCGAAATCGAACAACTAACACAAATTTTAAATTACTCAACATTTGAAGCCCGTAACATAGCATCTAATAATCGTAGTTTGACAATAGAGTATACCATTTAGAAGAGAGACATTAAAATTAATGACTTACATCCCCTTCTAGTATTTGAGTAGCTACATCAGTTCCAGATTTAGCGGGTATAAATAAAGGAGACGGTGGACGATCGAGAAAAGCATCAGTTTGCACTTCGATATCGGCTTCTTCTACCCGATCTGATAGTTCCTCTAAATATAATTCAGTTTGAATTTCGATATGTTGACGTCCTTCAACAGGTTCTGGAGTTTTAGGTTTCATTTGTTCTTTGGCTCTCTTCTTAGCAATTGCTCGTCGTCTAGACTCTTCTTTCTTCTGAATTTCTATTGGATTCGGCTGTGCATCCTTTGAACATGCGAATAAGAAGATCAACAACAGAGTATAAGTTCTGCTCAGCCTCTATTACGACTATATTTGATCATAATATGAAATATTTTAAAATATCTTGATAAAATTGATTACAGACCATTGCAACAGAATGAAATTATCTTAAGCTCAAAAACTAGAAGTCAAATTTATGGTGCACCTGATAAGTCGTTACATTTATCTCATGCTAAATACATATGCTAGTTAAGATGCTCAGATTGCTGTTTTAAATAATTTGGAGCAATCTTTGTCGTACGTATTACGGATTGATTTGTATAAGTGCTGAACTAATTAATACTTCTTTGATATATTACACATACAGTTAACTCTAACTTATGTATGATATGTATGCTATGTTATCTACAGATAGGTTATAAGTACATTTTAAGCAGTTTCGTACACTTATTTATAACACTGTAACATCTCGTGTTCCATTAGTATGATATATCAACACTGTATTATTTTACAGTCTTAGTACAATCTATTTCTTACAACTTCACATCGTGAACATTAAGTATAACATGCAATTGTGGTCGTTTTGTATTGAATCTTGTTAAAATAAAATTTACCGCAGGTAAATTTCTCAAGGCGTATGTATTTCCTCTTACGACACGCCGATCATGCATTAAATTTCCAAATTTCGCTGCTTCGACGTCCCTACAATGATATTAGTAAATAAAGTTAATGATTAAATTCAGAATATGATTTATTCGTAGCGTAGCTGCCACTAAAACTTCTTTACTCTGAGATCGTGCAGTATTTTAAATATCCAGGCTCAATAATGCGATTCCTTTTTACAATTTATTAATACAGCAACATCAGTTTACATAAAATACTTAGTTGCTTACTGTTGGGGATAAGGATTTCTATACTTCTGCCGCTGCCGTACTGCTTGAGGCTTAGAAGCGAATGTATATGTCCCACCATCGGTTGGATTATGAGAAATCATGGTTGTCATCTTTTGGGAGTGATAGTAACTTTTTAACAGTATCTCTACGATGAAAAATTAGACGAGGGTTCGAGTAATTTTGGTATGACTAGCGGTACAAAGTTAGTGTATTAATATAATGGAAGGAAAATATGTGTATGCTCCTCAGTCGGGCCAATAGGCTAGTATTACAGTATACTGTACACGACGTTGAATGGTCAAGACTTTAAGAGTAGGAAAACATCAATAAATGATCTGGTAACCATAGCGACAGATTACCGTAAAATGCTATTCAAAGAACAGTGTTCTGTTATCTGTACTGTACTGTACTGTAGTGCTGCGCATACTTTACAGTACTGTAAGTGTTTGAAACATTTTTTGACGATGACTCAATCCTTACAGTACCTTTATTACTTTCCTTCATCCCAGTATCACCTACAGTACTGTACAGTATGATGAAGATAACCGTCGTTGGTATCCTTCATTATTGTCCCTCAACACTCATATTACACCTTGAGAGAAGATTCCTATTAAAAATTAGTCAGTAATCCGTAGCATGCGTCAAGAAGTGAGAGGGACGGTCATTTAACTCATTTTTCTGCCATTTTATTGTACTATCCTGAGTCACGGACTTTTTGATAAAAATGATTCTGATACATTTTTATCAATAAGTCCCTGACTGTTGGAATACTAATTACACTAATGTATTTCAAATAAACTCCCTAATGAAATAAGAGGCTACAGGCTGGTCGCCATTGTAAAAACGGCTATCGCCGTACCTTAACTTTTATTCCATACTGCGATTCTGTACGTTTAATACCAGCATGCATCAAAGTTTTACTACACTATACTTTGGGAATTTCACAACTGCTGACGCACTAAAGTCTTCAAATAAATATGTTTAACATAGTCTAATTAAATTTTCCAATTATGAGAAAGATTAACGATATGCCATTATCAATTATTAGTAACTTGAAATACGTTTCATAGAGACTAAATTAGTATTACTGTACTAATTCAAAATTTTTAGAAATACTGCGTGAGTAATTAAAAATAATAATATAAAGTCAGTAAACTTAGTAGGATAATGATTACTGTAGCAGTTACTACTAAAGTAAAAAAGGTCACCCTTTTTCCACAGGGCCAGGACTGCCAACGCTTCTACAGTACTGTACAGCATAAACAATGATGATCATAGAGATCCTTATTTTTAGAGTCTCTACTGTACAGAGGAGTTGTGAAGAGGTGAGACGGTCGAGGTGAGACTGCTTCCTATCTTAGCGCATGTAGTACTGTACCAGTATTGATCTTTATTCGAAATACTGTAAGAGTTATACTGTACAGTACAGTACGTACTGTACAGTGTACAGTACACATGCAGTACTGTACTGTACTGTACTTTTCAGTACTTTTATACCAATGTACTGTACTGTACAAAAAGGGCCCCGCCCTACCGGTCACTCCTATCCATCGCCATCTGTTATCAATCGTATCTCGCTGATCTGATCTGCAAAAATAGCATAAAACAGTTCGATACCGCAATAGCTTTTACCATTGGTTATAGCCAAACCGAAACGTATCATATTGCCTGGACAGAAATCAGGTGTGTAAATTATTATAAAATATTATTTCTTATCTTCGAACTTTACTGTTACTGTTTATACTGTATATATATATATATATATATATATTCTAATAACTGTGGTATACCGACGTAGACATCACAATAGTTGCGTGTCAATCGTACGAAGCTAACAACATTCGCGTAGACTTGTATTAAAGTTTTAATGAAAGTGTTCGTTAAAATTCCAGTACGCTTCTGTTCAGTGTTCACTCGCATAATAAAAACTTTGCGTTCATGAAATACGTATTCGCGCATTTTATTTTATGAGATTGAAGATCTTCACGTTTATAGCGGTAAATCAATAAGATGCAATCTTTTAACTATTCAACTTATGGTGAACTTCGTTTATTTTATTTTTTACTTTCTATAATTTCGTATTAAACAGTTAGAGCCTTAGAGGCTACAGTGCGTATTTTAGTACAGTACTGTACAAAGTTTACTCTGGTACAGTACTGTATAGTGCTGGATTCGGATTGCAACTCTAGCTACAGACTACCGTACAGTAGTGAAGAAAAGGATACTTCCTGCCAGACCTTTGCAAAGTACGTATATTTTGGTTCCTATCCGATGCGCCGTAATTGCATTAGGATCTATGTAGATTCTTGTATTGTACCTTAGCACTAAAGTAACGGAGGATTACTGACAGTAAATGAATACTGTATTTCCCTTTTAAGACTTTTATTAGTCATCTCACTCAGAAGCTGTAGTCTGTAGACTCTGGTTCATAGCAAGCAGATCTATGAAAAGAGATTCTAACTTCTAACCAACTTATACAGTAAAGTGAATAATAACTCCGCATCACAACAATCCTTACTACTGAAGATGCAGATTGAAATCATTTTCAGACATTTAAAGTTTGAATAATTACAGTTCCGTGAAATATTCAGGGCACTCCCTTCCAACGGGTTTGATAGCGAAATCTATGTACGATTTGCGTTCAAGTTAATTAACTGCTCGATTAACACTACTGTACACTGTACAGTATTATCAATACATCTCAATTATTCAAAATAAATTAAAAGACTCAATTAATATTCCAGTATCCCTAACTACTAAAAAGTTTGACTATAATACGATCGAGTTTCTGATTAATTCTTATTATTATTTATGATTTCTTGCTGGAAATCGATGAACTATACAGTATATTGCGCATAGATCATGTTTCTAGGTTAATGTAATGTACAGTACAGTATGAAGCCGGAAAACGACCGACATCTTCGATATCATTTTTACGTTCTTGATTGCTACTGTAGCATCGTACTGTACTGTACTGTATACCACTCTACGACGCCACGGTGACATGGGCTAATTAAACACTGCTTGCGGTACAGTATAGTATAAGACAACACATGGTTTCAATTACCTAATTAAGTAGTATAATACAGTATACGGTACATGTACAGATATGTACCAAATTCCTTTTGTCGGGCACCCGAGTTTTTGAAATTGTCCGCTACCTTGGGTGACGGTGATCAAAAAATACCAAATTACTGTCTGTATTTTTTGTAGTAAAGAGAAAAATCTGTACCAAGATGGCACTTCAGTACTGTACTAAGCAATGGACTGCACGGAAATGTAATGATTAGTTAGTTTAATTAATAAATAATATTAATGTTAATGTTAATCAGTGCACGCCCATGGGTGCGAATGGCAACAGGAATCTCATTTAGCACTATATGACCACTGTGACTGGTTAATTAAAATGATGGTTAATGTATTCGTGCACAGCGCTGTGTGTGCCAAGGTCCTTATTCAATCGGTTTTGATATCGCCTTTAACGACCATTTAAAACAATTTTATTCACTACATACAGCAGTTCAACCAGCAATTTGGTTTTACTGTTTCTATGGCAGTTAAGCCCTTTGCGCTCTTTCGCCTACCAATTGTTCTAAATCTCTGTATCTGGAATTGATCTTAGTCTCCAGTCATACTAGTAAGCGTAAAATAATTATCTTCTCTGATATTAACCTACCATGATAGTAAATTGTACAGTATAACAAAGTAGATTTATGTGAAATATAACGTAACTGTAACTATACTTTACGTACGTGTACGTGATGCATGCATATTACAGGACTGTTTCGCGAGTACAGTCTCTGGCTGATTCTCAGCCGTAACCTCACAATGCATCTAGTGGCGAGTGCAGTATTAATTTAAATCTTTTCAGACACCCGCTTTCTGGCTTTTTAGACGCCCAAGACGTTCGATGGTTGATATGTACCATTATAGAAACTGTACTGCATTATTGTTCGGTGTCTCAGCATTTTGTGACATTATCGAAGATTATGCACACACAATTTAACGGTGGTAACAAATTATCTGATTTACACTAAACGTGTTGAAATCTTAACTACGGTATAAACGACACCATATTCGGCGATGCTAACTTGTAAATGGCACATGCCCACAATTGGTTGTTAGGAGATTCGTTTATTGTATATTGTGTTTTGAGTACTGCAGTAATCGCGGAGATGCTACATACCGTACGTGTATATTGCGTACGCGTTATGAGCCGTACTGTACTTGAACATGAAGTTATTGCAGAGTACTGTAAATATGAACTACAGTACACTCCACAAAGTGACATACATACAAAGTGTCTTATAAGTCCTTCTGTACAGTACTATTATCTGTAGTAAAGTTCGATTCCTATTAGAAACATCATCTGGAGGAAAGAAAAGTTCTTGATGTGAGTGTCTATTCGTTCATTATGCAAACATTAGTTATATACTTCTAAAACTAACAAACTTAAAAAGATCTCTTTCGAGTACGACAGTCAACCTAATGAAAAATAAATTGAGTAAAGCTGTCAACGTTGCCGAGACTTTAAACGACATCAAAGTGATACACTCCTGCAGTAATAAATTTCGAGGAAATTTCACCTATGGTTTTGATTAAAATCTTTAAAATATTTCTTTCCTTAAAAAAATAACGCGTGCTTACTTTGTAGGATCCGTAAACAAAATAGTAAGCGGAGTTTTCAGTCTTCTCCATAGCATCACTTGTACTGTAGATTAAATCTCATTTCAAGGGGTTCTTTAAGACTGATAACCTCACCACAAGGTAAATACATTTTTAAGAGTACAGTAGTTTATCGAAGCTCCACGATTAGTCACTAAATACTAGTTTTGGTTAGTCCTAAGATAATAACTATCTTTACTTGTCTCACTAAGAAGGCTATCAGCAAGAATTAACTACAAATTAAAATTTATATCAAAGCCATTTCTTGAAATACCGTTGTCTACATCAATACAGTACAGTACAAGAAGTAAAAGCATGCGGTCGGTTGATGTTCCAATATAAAGTCAAGACTATTCCTAAATTTGTAAGTTATTGCACCAATGCTATGACGGCAACTTCGAAATTTTGATTCGTTCCTGACAATATTCCTTTGTTTTCACGGTATACAGTATGTCAAACTAAGTGACTTTATAAGTAAAAACTAACTACAGCATATGGGATACTGTATAATCGTAAATTGAATCATTTAAATCACTAGCTGTAAGTTGATGCTAATTCAATGATGTCATGGAACTAATGGACTTTCTATAAAGTATGGCGAGAATGCAAGATGGGAATGTAATTTTCTTCGTAATGATGATACTGCATGACCTGTGGACAACACTATAAATTGTCGCAAATGCATAGCTATAAACGTCATGCTCTTAACCCCGAGACGACTTAATCTTTACTAGTTTGAACTAAAATAGCAAAATAAATAAATTTTTCATTGTTATTTTTCTTAGTTAATACTGTAAGTTGAACAATCTTTACTCATTGCTACGAAGAAAATGTACTAGAGCGCGAAAATTTATGCATTATGCATTTACTTATAATTCTGCTTGCTTTATTTCTTTTACAAGATCTTTACAGTTTACTCCTTTTGATAGCATTCATTTTTTCACTGACAGGGATTTCAAGAATTTCAATAAGTTGTCTTCAGTTTAACATGATTCAAGATGCCTAAAGCGGTAAGTAATCTATCAATTCAGTAGATACGAATTTACGAATGCATTATACTACACAATCTGCCCCAAGAATGCTATTTAAGAACTTGATTTTAAGCCTAATAAAATTTTCGAGCTTCATTTAAATAGATTCTAAACCATATCAACATATAGTGAAGCTAAATTGTGTTTTTAATTGTAGGTGAATGTTCGTGTTACTTCGTTAGACTCAGAATTGGAGTTTGCAATTCAGCCCAATACATCAGGCAAGCAGCTATTTGATCAGGTTAGGAAATAGAGTAGATAAAATTTGGATTTGACCTGGTATCTGCGCTAAAAGTTGAAACATTGGTATTGCGACTTTACTCGTAGCGTAAATTACTTAGTGAATAGAAACATATTATCAATATACGCATAAAAAGCATTAGAATTGATTTTATGAAGTAGAACAGCTATCTAATAGCAGTTTAATCAGCAATATGTACCCTCTACAATTTCTCTTAAATTCTGATAGATCTAGTATGTAATTTTTTCAATAGCTTCTTGAATTATATTATTTCTCTTTAATCGTAAATCTAAACAATCCCCAATCCTTATCAGGTTTGCAAAACGCTTGGTATCAGAGAGGTTTGGTATTTCGGATTGAGATTTTTAGACTCAAAGGGTCAACTTTCTTGGCTAAGATTAGAAAAAAAGGTAAATATCTACACTAAATAAGAATTAAAAGAAAGGGGGTCAATATCAATATGCAACTTATTTATATTACATGTATAAAATACGAATCTACAGCAATGTACAATACAGTAGATTCGTATTTTTATACATTTAAGTTAGAAGACTCGTATGTTGATGTTAATCCTAGAAAGGTACAACGTAATTTCGAGGTACTTTATTAAGCTAGTGTCGCATTCTTATTTATTTATTTTTATTATCAAAAATTTAACTACTTACCAGTTTATGCTTACAATAACTAATAAAAATCACAGTAGGTATTTTGACTATTCTATCATTCCTGGGTTTGTCCTTCGTACGTCATCCCTTTGTACATAAGCAAGTGACGCTTATTTACATTATAATGCTTATATAAAGTATATAGTACTGTACTTTAATCAATACTTGCTGACCTTAAATAATACATATTAAGAAAGAAATAACTCTGATAGTGCTTTCACATTCTCCTAAGTGTATAGTTACATATGAAGGAATCAACTTGTTACTATCCTCTCACCTTTGATAATATATGTAACTGCCTATAATAAATAATGAACGTAATTTGCGGGGGGGGGGGGTGTTTAGTCAATTCAAAACTTATCACTTATATGTTTCATTGAATATGTATGATTTAGATTTTCTGATTGTTGCTTTATAAGGTATCGGCACAAGACATCAAAAAAGAAGTTCCACTTCAGTTTAAATTCAGAGTAGAATTTTTTCCTGAAGACGTATCAGAGGAATTAATTGAAGATGTAACACAGGTTAGTCATAATAAATTATATGATATTAGTGGCAATCGTTCGGAGCCAAAATATTTAAAACTCTGTACTGAAACAATGTTCGTTATACTTACTTTTTCGAATTGTCACTCTCAATGACGGCGGCTAGAAACTATTCTTCTTGCAAGTTAAGGAAGGGATTATAAATGACGACGTATATTGCCCCCCAGAAACTGCTGTTCTTCTAGCTTCTTACGCTGTAGGCCAACTAGTGTAGATTTAAAATGTCAACACTCGTGGTTGAAGATTAATCTTCAGCTGCAAATGATTTTATTTTTGTTACTTGAACTACAACACTAACATAAGAATACAGTTACTGGAGATTCTTACGAATAATACAGCACATTAACTTGAATATTTAGCCTACTTTTTTAATCAAGGTGACGTAAATATAAATTAACTTCTGTTAATCTCTAACACTTGTAGGTTCAGGCAAAATTTGGCGATTACGATAAGGATACTCACAAAGATGGTTATCTTAGCAACGAAAAGCTCCTACCTAAAAGGTAAAATTCCAATCTACAAGACGATAAAGTGAAATTTATTTCATTACACATGGTTTTATAGCGAATTTTATATATTACTACGATAGAGTACTAGATCAGCACAAATTGGATAGTAGGCAATGGGAAGAAAGAATTTCCAATTGGCATTCGGAACACAAGAATATGCTTAAGTTAGTAAAATTAGTGTATAAAGTGCAAAGCTGTAATTTTGTGATGAAACGTTTCCACACGTGAACGCTATTAGAATTTTCTTATGTCCGTGACCATTTGATCCGTAAACTTGATTCAAACATTGAGGTTTTCTACTTTACATAAATTTCTTTACTTTTAAATTTTATAATTAACAGAGAAGAAGCAATGATGGAATATTTAAAAATCGCTCAAGACCTGGAAATGTACGGCGTTAATTACTATGATATTAAAAATAAAAAGGGCAGTGACTTATGGCTAGGTGTTGATGCCCTTGGCATTAATGTATATGAACACGAAGATAGGTATTACCATCAATAAGTACCATTATACTTCATAGGTACTATTCTTTCTTAGTTTTAAATATCAATTAATATTTAATTTTGCATAGGTTAACCCCTAAGATCGGATTTCCGTGGAGTGAAATTAGAAATATATCGTTTAGTGAGAAAAAGTTTGTCATTAAGCCAATCGATAGAAAATCTCCAGTAAGACATTGATATATCTGCTCGGTTAAATTACTTTTCTATTTAAACATGAAGAGTTAAAACTGCATTTCGCCTGTTTATTTGCAATTTAGGACTTTAACTTCTACGTTCCGCGCGTAAAATTGAACAAACATATCTTGGCTTTGTGCATGGGGAACCATGAATTGTTTATCAGACGTAGAAAACCTGATACTGTGGAAATTCAACAGATGAAAACTACTGCTAAGGATCTTAGAAATGCGAAAAGATCGGAAAAGTAATATTTCGCACAAAAGTGATTTCAGTTAATAACTACAGATATCAGCATTCATATTCTTCATTCATTCGTGCAATGTTTAGAGCACAGTTTCTGCGAGAACAACAGGCACGTTTAGATGCGGAAAAGCAGCGCCTTGAGCTTGAAGAGAAAATGAAAAAATTTGAAGAGGATCAAAAGATCGTTCAAAATAGTGTGTTTCACTTCAAAGATAGATAGTGATTCTTTATTTTTAAACAATTATGTAAATCGAAATTATTGCTACAATTGTTATCATAAGGTTTAAAGAAAACTGAAGAAGGTTCTAAGGAATTGGCTGAAAAAGCCCGTAAGGCTGAAGAGGAAACAAGGAGATTGGAAGAAATTAAGAAACAGATTGAAGAAGAGAAGAAAAAATTAGAAAAAATAGCTGCGGAAGACAGAGAACGCTTGGTAAAATTTAATTATGTAATGGTCGATTATCATTTACAAAATTTCGCAAGAATTAAATATTTTCTTTCGTAGGCATACGAAAAATCTGTAGCCAATCAAAGAGCTGAAGCAATGGCAGCAGAATCAGCAAGGAAAGCCAAAGAAGCACAAGAACTTGCTCAGCAGGTTTGGAATTAAATTTAAATGCTATATTTGTATATTTTACCACATAGTTGTGAATTATTTAAATACACGTAAACTTGATGTTAAGTAACTGATAAACTGTACTCCTTCAACTCAATGTAAATGCTTCAGTTGGAAGACGCCCGCATAAAGGAGTTAGAAAAAAATGAAGAAATTAAGCGTCTGTCAGAAGCTGCTGCACGTGCAGAAGAAGCCGTAGCAATGGCTGAAGAAGCGGCTGCAAAAGCTGCCGAAGAAGCACGCGCACGTGCTGCCGAAGAAGCGTATCAAAATAATAACTTAGCTGAGCCGCAGTATGAAGAAGGAACTGATGCAGGCTCATCGCAATTAATAGATGATGAGACTGACGAAGTACCCATGACACAAGAAATCGATCGCGTTGCTTTAGCTGAAAGGAATAAAAGATTGATGGAGCAGTTGAAGGTACAGTTATAAAAGTTCCATGTCTATAAGTAAACTCTTTTCTTTAGGATTACATACCTACGTGATGGCTTATTTCTGATTTATTTTAACAGCTCCTCGGTAACGAGCTCATCGGTATCCGGGATAATTCCAAAGATACCACAATGGATCACCTACATGCTGAAAATGTCAAGCAGGGCCGCGATAAATACAAGACTCTAAAACAAATAAGACAAGGAAACACTAAAAAAAGAGTCAACGATTTTGAACAGTTATAGATTCAGTTCTAAATCAATTTGCGTATGTTGGTTTTGTTAATTATAATTATTAGTGAATTTTTCGAAGTACGTATTTTTTCTGATAAAATTTATCTAAATAGTATGTACCGTTAATTTTACGATCCTATCTAGAATATCGTAGGGTTAAATATGTTAAATCATTTACCACAATCACATTACCTTGGCTAATACCTATATCAAATAAAAGATTTGGATTTTCGTGGGTGCAGTTGTAGCAATCTTAGCTAATTTACACTAATTAAATTACTTAGGATTTCGTAAAACTTTTTTCATTTGATAAGATTGACATAGTTTTATGTCATCCTTTGCTATTAAATTTATTTCGGAGGTACAGTTAAAAATTATATTGACGTTATCATAGATACTGATATTGCAGTTTGAGGCATAATTTCGGTACGAAACTACCGTTAATGCTCAATATGTATGCGTGCCTAGTTGGAAATAAAGTTACAATTTCTCGCTTTCATGTAAAGTACATCTTGATATTGTTATGAGCTAGTTAAAATTTAAATTTATTATTTATATGCTCATTAATCTTGCGCCAATATAAGTTTGAATTTAAGCTCATACAGTATGACTAATACTGTAGATACTCGAGTAACTAACGATGTGTGACTAAAGGCCAGGTAACTAATTTGTTTCCTATCGTAAGATCATCAAGCACTGCATACATGCAAAAAGCGAGAATACTATCAAAGCTATGAATACATGCATACTAAACAATATTATACATTTCAATTTCAATCGCATTATAGTCTATTTAGTTTATAAAGCATCGAGATTAACTGAATGTATGTAAATTTTAGGTTATGCATTACCACAACATATTACAATGCCATTTCGTGGCGACTATTTGTAAAATCAATGGCCTAGTCTTAAATACTTAGGGAACTAAAATAGGTTATAAATTACATCCTTTAATTGTATTGATGTCCGCAATACAGATATGTTAATATATTATAGGTGCTAGTTATCAAGTACACAAAAACTGAAATAAATTTTGGAAACTGAGGAAACGATAAGACCAGCTATGATATCCAAAATGTAGAATGTAGCCTGTCTCCAACCCTTGTTAAAATCTCCACCGTAGGGGTATTCTAATAGATTATATTTGCTATAGCAATTTATAAATATAATATATTTATTCTCGGTAGATATAGACCGTATACATGATTACTCGAGTCATATAATTTGCAATCTCGGGTCAATTGAAGCGTAAGTCTGCGAGAGGCTTTTACCAAATAAAAGCTATTATTTCAATACATATATAGCACTTTTGAAGAGTTTGGCAAGATCAAAATGTACGATATATACGATCAATTTACTTGTTATCAAAAACAATTCACTGCCTAAACCCAAACATACTCGTAATGTTGCTAGTAAATCTATAATTACTGGTAAATACTGATGCAACTAAAATTGGGTTATTAGCTTTGAATTGGTTGATCATGTATGAACTTTTCCAAATATGACGATATCACATAACTATCCGAGGCAAATTAAAAATCATAATTGGTTATGAATGCTTTGCGTACGATTTCCAGAGAATCTATTATCGTCGTAACATTTACTTTATGAGAGGCACCAATAAAACTATGGATTCATTTCATAGTGGCATATCGAAAGCTCTGTAGGGAATTGTCACGGTACGAACTACCGTGAAGAAATGGCTATCTAAATTTGGTTAATATAACATAGTGATATTATATTACAACTAGTTACTTACAATAGGAATTACTCTAATTATAAATGTGTTACAGTAAATTTAATGCTGTGCTGTAATGTGCACTGAAATGATTCTGTGAATGGCCATATTGTAGTCCGACTGTGAAAAATTAGTTAGCAGATGTTCTCACCTAAGTATTTTTATAAGATAACTCGTGAATGTTAGCTGCTGTAGAAGGGTATATAAGCCCGTCAAATAGTTGAATGAAGCAGTTCTCAATTGTCTAGTTGAGTTTAACGTAGAAAAAAAGGCGCCTAAATTCTTGTGAGGTAGTTAAGGGATACTGAATCCCGGAGACTATAGTAATTTAGAGATTTGTTTTACGTTATCCTTGTCACGAAGCTGGTTTGTGACAGGAATATGCAAGTAATATCATCTCAAATTTAAGTGCTCCTGTTAATAAGCTTAACACATAATTATGCTAATATACGAGCCATTATATACATGTGATTGATGCATCGTTATCCATGAAACAAAATTATCAATGCCGAATGCAAAGTGCAGCAAAATTTCATATTCTTTATGCATTGACAGTAGCTTCTTCTTTCTCTAAAGGCGATGGTAGATCTAAAGGTATATTATTGCAGATTCTACAGTGGTCGTGTTAAATAAAGTTTGGCATCCGATATTGTGTGTATATTGAGCGCTAGGTATAGTATGATTTAATTTGTTGTATGTAATACAATAGGAAAACTTAAGTTTCTGGTTGAGTATCATGTCGTGTCATGAGGTCGAAATTTATTTACCGAATCGTTATTTGGCCTTAATTTGAAAAATTGACTTACAGTTTCTTATAACGTAAAATGATTGTAACCTATGAAGCTGTAGTAATCCGATAAAATTGAAATCCATAGATTTTCGTGACAAAAGAATTGTACATTATAAATACCTTTCTATGAATAGTAATCATAAATCCGAATAGAAGCTATATTCCATTACGGCACTATCGACGTAGCAAAGTGAGATACGTGAGGCTGTTCATAAAAGAGTATTTTATCTCGATATCGTTACAATTCAGAATTATGTTTTTAATGTAATATGTGTATCGGAACGATTAGAGCTTAACACAAATATTGTATCTCCAAACAAAATTTAAAATCATGAACTCATACAGGTATGGGCCATTTTGAAAACATTTTATTTGTATCGCTATGAACTCGTAGAACATTAAATATTCTGGTAGTCCCTGGCACTTAAAGCAATCTTTTTTGTAACCCAATCGAAGAGATAGAAAAGTCCTAAATTTCTTAACAAGCAAAAAATATTAACTTAGTGTTTATTAATTAATTGATTATTTGCAATTTAAAATATTTGCAGGCGAATCCTTATAAGGATATACCAAAGGTCAAGCGATTCTAACTTCTGTATTAGATTATTACGAAAAAATTAGCTAATGGGCATACGTAGAATCAGAAATACTGTTAGAAACTATTAATTCGAATAGATTATAGGAAATATAAGTGCTACTGTAAGATTTACAAATCGTGTAAAACTTAGGATCTGTAAGAGCGAAAACATATCTGTGACCTATATAATGATGATACTTAGGCGACATTTACAAATTTAAAAGCACAAAGTAATCAAAAACTTTCTTTCATTAAACTATAATTCAAAAGTATATTACTTCTGCCACTGATGATAGTTTTCTCCTGCAAAGGATACAGAGACTTTGCCATTTGAAAGAAAGGAAACAACCACATAAACAATAGAGTAAATTTACAGGTACAACAGCAAAATCAAAGGTGCTAAAGCGCTATTTAATTAACCTGACATTGACAAAATAAATAAATTGCTCAAGAGTTAGGAAACGCTTTTAGTCCGATATGATCGATGATTTTTTTATATCTACTGTATAATAAAGTTTATATTTGAAGACTTATACTAGATTTTATATTTCGTAGCAGAATTTGGGCATTACTTATTGTTTAGAAACAGGATCAGCCTGTGGTGTCTGTCACGAAGTGACTTTCACTAACTATTACTTTATCTTATTTTCGTTAGATACCATACTTTAGCATTTGTTGAAAATATCGTTATCATGATGTTACACATTCTTTTATAGATAAATACACAGTTTTATAGTATTATCTAAGTCCTAATAATTAATGTTTACGTTAATTGACTATAAATTGACTGATTTTCTAATAAGGTTTGGATTTAGTTTTGTCTAAGAGAGATTAGTAGTGTTACTGTTCCTCCTGACAATAGGGGATTGTTAGTATTTGGAGATGTACTGTACTGTAGGTAGATGTCCGGAGGACAAGATTGACAGTACGCTCGTAGATGTAGTTTTCTGTAATAATTGAGTTTTCTCACGCTACAAATTTAGATTTGTAACAGTGTCATACTGGATAGCAGTAGTTAAGAATTCTGAAGATAATGTAATAATGGTATAAGATCAAACGACAATTTCGGTAGCATAGTAGAAGATGAAGCATACTAAATAAACAAAACCTAAATAAGATAAGGATTAACTGACGTTACAGAATTTTGTTCTGAATTATCGTTCCTGTATTTCCATATAGTGGATTGTTAGATATCTAGTGTTACGGCATTAATTATTCTCTAAATATTATTGTTATATATAGCTACAGAGAACTCTAATACAGATGTAACACCATAGTCATAGACTTAATATTCTCCTACGTATACATTCACTAAGTATACGCCTTGATATTTAGTGTTTATGATAATAATTAAGCTAATAATATTCGAACGTTCAAAAATTCTCATGAATAAAGTAATCATTTTATACGTCAAATCTCCGAATAATGTATATTCATAAAGAATCTAAGTTATAGATAAATTTGTAGTAATTTATTTATATTTTTTAGTTGCTACATCATAGTAATTTCGTTTGTCCGTTTTATCTACATTGCAAAGCGATCATGCCCTCGTATGCTAGGGAATCTAGCTATCTCTGTAAGGTGGATGAAGTTCTAAAGTCGCTTTAATTTAAAGTTCCCGTAAAATATAAGACACTATGCTGTATATTAGGCGACGGAAAGTTAGTCGAAAAATTAATCAAAATATAGTTAATTATTAGTACAAAGTGACCAATGAATGTGGTAGAAGTTATCTCCCTGTCTGACATAGAATGAAGCATTATCCATAAGAGTTATAGATTTCATCTCTGAAAGATATATGTTTTGCAATCTTGCATGTTGCTAATATGGCTCTTTGCTATAATAGTGATAAGATTTTGTAAAATACAATTTTGTACTGTAAATGCCTTAATTTTAATAATAGTGTC